AATCTTTTTTTTTTGCTTCTTTGACTATTTTCAAACAAATCACTGCAGCTAATTAAATCATCATCTCTTTCCACTCTTAAATAAAACACTTATTCTGTTTATACGTTATGTCATTGGTATCATGTTGATCATTTTCACTGAAATTAATCATCCTAATTTAATCCTTTTTGGGAAATTTTATCAAAATAAGGTTCATTCGATTTCAATTGTTATTCTTATGTATGCCCGAGTCAAAATATGACACCTAAATGTATTCATTTCATATAATTTCCATCCTTTTTATCCAGATCCAACCTTTTTATTCTATGACTATTCTATTTTATTTTTTAAGTTGATAAAAATAAGGATGATAAAACCTAATTTTTACCTTCTAATCCTAATTCTATTTTTATCCTTTTGAAATGCACAGAGAGAATTTTTTCACTAAATGTAAGTGCAAAATGTGACAAGTGCACGTTTCGAAATTTAGAAATAAAAATATTTCTGTTCAACAGTCAATTTTGGGTTGTCGTAAGTAATTTTTGAGTTATCTTGAGTAATTCTTTTACTAAAACACCTTTTAAGTCTCAAGTTTACTTACAAGAACTCGAAACCTACTATCGAATAGAAATATTTTTACTTTTAAATTCCGAAACGTGGACTTGTCACTTTTTGCACTTACATTTAGTGAAAAAATTCTCCCCGTGTAGGTAAATATTAAGATATAGACAAAACAGTCTCATTTAAACTTTTCTAAATATTTGTTACAACTTAATAATGAATTAAATAAAACTGCTCTTTCAAATACGAACATAGTTAATATTATAATAACTCCCATTACAGTCATCTTTTTTTTAATAATACATATGATGTTATTGCTTATAATAATAATGCTAATAAACAGCCTAATGATAATTGAAATAAAATTAATAATTATGAATAATAATGTTTTTATTAAAATCTCAAATAAAATTAGATTGAAACCAAGAAAAGTATAAAATAAAAGTAGGATGAAGCTGCAGCTTCATGAGATAAAAGAGAAGTAAAATTAGTATGAGTTCAGGATAAAATTGAAAAATTTTTACTGACTTTAATTAGGACTTGTTCATCTTAAGTTAAATCTTAAAAAAATATAGTCTTAGGATGAAAATAGGTGTTATATTTTGACTCGGGTAACTTTTTTGTTAATCATTAACTAGTATATATAAGCTTTGAATGCGAAGGTTTAAAAAAAAGAAATGTTTATAAAACTTTGAGTCCAACGGAAAGAAACGGTATTTAGTTGTATTTTTTTTTAGATGGAATTAAAATAAATACTCGAGTATCTTTCATCACGGAAAGAAAAATTCTCGGATCGTCAAATGGTATTTTCTGTCATGGCAGATATGTATTAAAGTCTGGTTCATTGCTTGCACCCGAGGGAAGAAGAAAGATTCCTGGGGACTATCGAAGTTGTTGCAAAAAGGGGAATGGTGAAAGATTTCTACCAATTATCGATACAACCGCAGAACGCTTTTGATCTCTCCCGGAAAAGCGGGTGTTCTTTTTTCTTCATCGTCTACCTTGTGTATTCACTTGATGTTGATTTTTAAAACGTCTTATATTTTTATTTGAGGTGTACAAACGGTCGGGATACTTTTTACTCTTTCATCATCATTCCTTTTTTTTTAATATCTCAAAAAAGTACACAAACAAGTCTACTTGCTTGGATAGAAATAAAATATCATTTTAATCTACTTTCATTTGAGTTTCACCTTCATTTTCTTTTTGTTTAATCTTCGTTATATAACTGTCTGAAAAATAAATCAATAGAGATTTATTTTATTATAGAATGTAATTTTGAATGAATAAAGAGGATTTTTGAATCAAGAGCGATATAGAAGCACTCATTAAAGCTATGACAGTCATGAAGGAAAAAGAAAGGAAGTAACGTCGATTCATCAAGATCCGCGAATCATAAAAGACTTGTAATCCTCGAGCGCTCGTGCCTTGCATCGATTCTAGGGGTAGTTTCCAGGGTCTTCCATCTTCCAGGAAGACCAAAGTTAACTCGTGGCTATTGTCATGGTAATTATCGCATTTTTTGTTAAGCTTACTCTTTTCTTAAATATAAATCTTTTTAATAAATTATTTTTAGCTATAACCATTTATTTATTTTATCAAATTTTTCTAACAATATTTTGTTTATTTTTCATGTATTCGTATACAAAACTCTTTTTAATTCAATTTGCAAAGGTTATCGGTCTGCTCTTTTGTTGATTTTTTATGGAAAAGGGATTGCAAATGCGATTTATAAAATTGCTAAAACAGCCATAAAAGCCCGGTCACAAGTTTTGTGTACGAGGATGAGCGTTGAACAAACCAGAGTTGCCCTCTTCTCTCTCGAATGGTTGTCAAAAGTGGTATCAGAGGGAAGGGTTATGACTATATATATACATATATATGTTATCAAGGTTGTATATACGATCCCAGTGTCCAGCTTGCAGATTAATTTCGTTATGAATGTTGGTCCAACACTCGAGATTGACTGACGGTCAAACACCCTCGACTCTATTAACAGTTTAAAGCGTATTACGGTACAGAAGCTTCGCTCTGTCTTCTTCTCTACTCTCTTTCCATTATAGAAAGTTTGTTCTTTTTTATTTGGTTTCAATTGTTATGAACAAGAGAAAAATATGATAAAAAGTAACTCTAAATTTATACTAACTCAAGAATCTTTTTTAAGGAAAAAATAATTTTTTATTATTTAATAAATAATAAAACTTAATGATAAAATTAAACTACAATAAATTTTTTATAAAGTTCCATCAATTCATAGACAATACAATTTACTGTGTTTAAATAATTGAAAAAAAAAAGTTTATTTAAATAAGAATTTTTTTTTAGCAATAGTTTAACATTAAATACAAGTAAACATTTATGTTAAATAAATATGAATTATTCCGAACAAATATTAATGCTAAAAAATATCATTCAAGGATAAGAGGTAAATTTTAGTGTATTTTTGATTAAAAGGATACCTTGACTCATCAAACATCATTTAATTAATGAATTTTTCAAAAATTGTTCATTATATTTTTTTTAAAACTATAATTTACATACATTTTAAAAAAATAAGCAATTAAAAAATAATAGTCTTCTACATCAATGATTAATAAATGTGTTCCATATAATTAAAAATAATTAACTGTTAATATCCTAATTATATTAAAATTAATTAATAAATCTAAATTGTTCCCAATAAAAAAAAAATCCGTAAAAAATTAAAACAAAAAAGACGTTTTTTTCCTTTTACTTTATATGAAATAAAACATTCGTATTAGCCAATAAAAGTAAGGTCTTACGTCGTCCACCAAAACTCTGAGCTTTCGTCCCTCCGCGTAAAATAGAAGGGATTAGTTTCTTACAGGAGCGCCTCGCGGGGCTTAAGCATTGATGAGGTTTTTAAATGGGTTCTTCTTTGATGGCGCACGCTTGGTAACGATGTTGGGAACTTCACCAACCTCCTAACAATGTCTTCTTGAGTGGGCGGATATTCCTATGGAGGTCGCGATGCTTTACTTTTTTTTTCATTCTCTCTTTTTCCTTTTCCCTCCAAGACTAACAACTCAAGTAAAGGAGCAAGAGACGATATTTACCGGAAGATTAAAAAATCGAAAGAAAAATTAAGTGTTACAGGGGCACGCGGCTCTAACCAGTCTTTCCTGGCTCTGGACTTAATTCGATGTAATCCCATGCTAAGATCCATTCTCCCATCCTCTCTTTTCTTCTGATTTTATTTCAAACTTTTCTTCAATACAGTTCAGTAAATTTTTTTAAAAACCCCCTTGTTGATAATAAAGCTATGAACATTAAAAAAAATTTTAAATATATAAAGTTTTTAAAGTATTTTTTATCAATGAATGTTAATAATTAATTTAATAACATAAATAAAAAATGTTCTTACATGTATATTGTTGGTAATAGTATATTTGATTTATGAAAGAAATAATAGGAAGAATCGTATAGATCGGTTATCTAGTTTTCTTCAATTTAAATTCTAGAGCAAATGTAAATAAGAAAATTTGACCAGAAACCAAGCCAGTTATGTTGGCGATACAAATATTTAGAGAACGAACGAAGGCAACATTATATGTAGCAATCCACCGACAGTTGGGCTTCACGTCGGTGTTATTAGTAAATTAACTGACATCAAAGAAAATGCGGACGCTGGCCACTTACTCTCTTAATGAAAAGCTCCAATGAACCAACATGCACAATTCTTGCGTTCACTGATATGTGTCTTTCACTTTATATAGATATTATCATTTCATTCGTAACTATTTCTTTTCAAATTCACTAATTCAAAAAGTATTAAATACTCTAAAAATAAATTCTAATAAAAAAAAATGACAATAATTTAAGAGAAATTTACAAATTTATTAATAATGACTATTTTACATTTTTTTATGGTCTCTTAATTTTTTTTTATTTTAGATGTAGATTTTTTCTGATACGATGCTCCACTGAATTTAGCGTGTTAAGCTTGTGTCGTAATCCCACCCTTAATATTCAAAAACGTGATCGCTTTGCCAAGTGTTCGAAGCTGCCTAAAAACGACAAAAAAGAGGTAGATGGCAAGAAGCGCAAGAAAAGCAGCTAAGAGTAGAGTAAGAATCTCTGCAGTTGTGGAGTCCAAGACTCTGGAAGGCTTTCCATATGCTAATTGGCATTCGTCATTTTCTTAAAACGTCGACAGCTTAAATAAGCTTTCAGAATAACTCTTCTGTAAAATATTTTTTAGCTAAATTTAGATTAAGATATTCTCAATTTTAATCATGCTATTTTATTCATGACTATCATTGTACAGATTTTTTCTTCAGGTTAAAAATAAAAATTCTTTCAAGCAGGTGTAACCGACCGAGTTATTTTATCACATCATCCATATCTAAACCTCCTATCTATGCTGTTACAGATAAGAAAACCATGCCCACTGGTTTGTTGGACCTCTCTGATTATCTATGATTCAGTCTTTACGTGAATGCGGCTCGAAACAAGTATTACACTTCGACTCATTGATGTAATTAGAATTGATAATAACAAAAATTAAGTTCACATGTTACTTTGAGTGTTTTTTTGCTCAGTAATAAAAAAAACTAAGAATTTATTATTTATTGAAAAAAAGTGTCATAGTGTTGATAATTATCACATTAATTTTACCGGAAGTTGATTTTCTAGTTCTATTTAACTCTAAGTTTCTCGAACCAGATCATCCAAACTCATGACTCACAAAGATAATGTTATCTTTAATTCTTATTGCTTTATGTCTTTGAACATTTAGTTATAAATTTAGTGTATAAACAATATAACTCTTTGGAAATTCAAAATGACCCTAGGGCCAAGGGAAATCATGAGATCTGATGAAGTTGAAGGCCAACTATCAGGACCAGCTCATCCAATACCTGATCAATCATTAGATTGTGGATGTGGACAGATGCGATGTCCTAAATTGGTCAAATATGCCCCGAGAAATTTTTATGTTGGACTTATTTGTTGGATCGGAGCTATTCAAGGTGCTGCCCAAGCTTATTTTGGACTTACTAGTCCTGTTATTGTTCGAAGGTTTAACTTTCCACCAGATATTTTAGGTAAATTACCTAAAAATTGATTATAGTTATAAATATAATTACTTATATAATTGATTTTTACCTATAGAATGGTTTTCATTGTTTACTGATGGTTTGATACCACTTATTCTGGCTCTCCCTATTGCATATTGGGGTGACAGAATCCATCGAGCAGCATGGACTGGTGCTTTAATATTGATTCAAAGCGTGGGTTTTCTTACTTTAATTATTCCGCATTTTACTCATAATTCGTCTCGTGTCATTGAAGAAACAACCAATACAACCCATCTTTCAATATACGCAGGTACGAATGTTTTTTTCAATAGCATTGATTTATTTTAAATTTGGATAAATTGATTAGTAATATTGATTTAATTTTCCAGAAGATCATCCAGAATTATGTGCAGTAACTGGTTTAGCTCGAGTCTCTGTTGAAGAAGATGAAATTTGTTATTTTACTTTACTCATTATTATTATTTCCCAAATACTTAATTGGGTGGGAAATATTGCATATTTTGCTTTAGGAATCTCTTATTTAGATGACAATACGCGCAAAAGACACGTTGCTATACCTTTAAGTTTTATTATAGCATTTAAATTAATTGGAATGTTTTTTGGATACCTGTTAGCTTGGGGATGTCTTCAGTGAGTATTAACACCAAATACAATTTATTTATTAATTAACTGATGGTCTTAATGATTAATGATTGTTTGTCTGAAAAATTTTCTCTTGTTAGAATAGATGCTGATGATGTGACATTAAAGGTTGCATCTTATAGAGAACAAATAGGAGGTTGGTGGATTGGATGGCCCATCTTGGCATTTTTGCTTGCTCTTCCTGGTATACCAGTTGCCTTGCTACCTCGACGACTTCCTTCAGAGGTAAAAAAAATTAATAATTTTGGGAATTACAATTGTACTATTTTTTAAATAATTCTATCAATATTGGTAATTATTTATTCAACTAATAAAGTTTGATTATTTGACTAATGTTTTAGATTGTTGAACAAGCAGCAGCATCAATACTGGACCTTGCTGGACGTACAAGTCCAATTTCTGAATCAACAATTTCTGGAGACACTAAGAAATTTGGTGATACTGGTTACTTTGCATCTCTCATTAGACTGTTTACAAATAAAATCTTGATGTTTAACATATTAGCAAGTGCATTCTGCATCGCTGCACTTGTCAACTTTGCCATCAATGAAGACATCTTTCTAGAGTCTCGTTTCTATGTACCTCGACCCTCTGGTCTACTTCTAGGTTTTGGAGATCCTTTAACTTCTCGAGTCGTTACTATTTTACTAAGACCAATTATAATTGGAACATTCATTATTATATCTGGTATTGTTATTGTCAAAATGAGACCACGAGCCAAATGGCTTGTGATTTATAATATAATTGTTGGAATCATTGCTGCTTCTATCATCTTTTCATTAGCTTTTAATGACTGCAAAAAACCTCCCATTGAATGGTCGAATTCTAGAGGATCGTAAGTATTACTCACAGATGTACATAACAGTATCTATGAAAGAAAAGGTTATTTAATAACTTTTGTTCTTATTTTTGTAGGATTTCTTTGTTGAAATACTGTAATAGAAACTGTAGATGTTTGAATGATGCAAACTTTAGACCGATCTGTAATATAAAAAGTTCAAGTGTCTTTTATACTCCATGTCATGCTGGATGTACTAGTATTGATGATTCTGGAGATATCAGAAAATACCTTGGATGCAGCTGTATTGAAAATAATGAGGCTATAGAAGGTCCTTGTGAATCTTCAATATGTCAAATAGGATGGATTGTATTTGAGGTCGGTTGAGCACTTAGTATTTAATCTAAAAACAATTAAATGAATAATCAACTGATTTATAGTAAAATACAATCAACAATTGATACATTTTTAATCAATTTTTTTCATTTATTAGATCAGCACAATCATTGTTTATACATTAATAGCATCTGGAGCAGTATCATGTGCCATCATAGGCTTACGATCAGTCTATATTCAAGACAAAGCTTTAGCCATTGGATTATGGATTGTCTTGACTAGCTTTTTTACTTACCTTCCTGGAAAAATGCTTTACTGGAAACTTACAGATATAACCTGTATTCATCGAGGGAATTCACCTTCTTCATGTCATCTATATGACTCTGAAAGTCTTGGATCTTATTTGGCCTGGCTAACAGCGTTGTTATTGCTATTTGGAGTTTCTTTTGAGATCATTATGTTTTTCTTCAGTCGAAACTTGAGATTATATCGAGAAAGTGAAATAGAACTCAATGATATAAATCAAGCTCCTACTCAAGCTATTCCATTAGTTGAACAACCCATTCAACAACAAAATCCTCAAGATGGTTCGTCATCTCCTGAAATAGATACTACTCTAGCTGTAGTAACGACTACTGATCCAGGTACGAAAAGTATTTTACAAATATTCAAAAAGAGTATCAATAACATTACAAATCGAAGACTTGAAATTGTTTATCAATTTTTTCTTATTCTACAGAACCACAACCTGCCACCAGTACTGACGCTGTCCAAACATCAGCACAATCTTCTAAAAATTTAAAAGAAAATGGACCACTAAAATATGGACCTTTAGGACCTGGAAGTCCACGAAAAACTCAAATTCTTCCTACAAAAGAAGCAAATACTCCAATCAGTGACTCTGAAGATACTGATAGCGAACAAATTCATAATAGGCGAGCTCCCATTTCATTATCAACAATAAGTTACAAGCGTTTAGAAGTAGATTCAGATGAAATTAGTGATTCCAGTATGGGATCATCAAGACGCATTCACTCTTTAAAAGCATCTTCTAGCGCAGTATCTAGGGTTTCATCAGAAACACCCAGTCTTCATGCTGTAGCGGGATTTTCTGCTACCGATGATATTCAGTTTACTAAATTTCCAAAAAAGAAAAAAGATTTTTCATATTCTGGAGATTTTAATGAAGTTGGGATACCTATTGTTGAATATCCTTTAACATCAATGAACTCCAGAAGTATAGGATCTATCTTAGCATCTTCAAAATCACGGGATCAAATCAAAAAATTTCAGATGAAGCAAGAAAATTATAAAAATAAGGATGGAAATGCTAAAGGGGATACTAGTAGACCTTTATCACCAGAATATGCTTCATCAGGATTTGAAAGTTCTACTTCAGATGCACAGAAAGTGATAGACCAAAAACCTTCAATGAGTGGTAAAAACATTTCTAAATCCACTTCTAATCTACCTAATCCAAAACCTAAAATTTATGGATATACGACTGCTTTGTAGATGTTGCAATTGTTATATAATAAATTACAAACATACAAGTAAATTTCAATGAAGAAAGTTAAATTCATGATAAAATTAATTATCATATAATAAAGTAATAATTAAATTATTTACATAATTTTTTATATCTTACTTATTTCAGATATTTATTTTCAAAATATGTACACTAGCAACTTGAAACTAATCTACTTATTTATAAAACAGCTCTTTAATATTTTAGTATATTTAAAAAAATATGAATTAATTATTTTCCATTTTTATTTGAATTTATTTTTTATAATAGAAAATACTATTTGAAATGTAATTTTATTATTTTTTAATGTAAAATTTTATTTATATGAATCAATTAAAAATACTTCACTAAATTTTTGTTATCTAAAGTCATTTATCTCTTTTTTTTTTGATACGTACACGTGTGAATATGTTTTTGCTTCAGAATACTAAAAAATGTGTGAGCTTGACTATAGTTGAGTATATGTTATATATATTTACTACTTTGTTTTTTCAGATAGTTTTTATCTATCAATATAATTATGTCTAATAAAATGATAATGATAACAACGTAAATAGATGCTTAAAGTACAAGTGAAATATTTTTATCACTAAAACACTCATTGCTATAGTTATTAATTTAAACACTGAAATATATGTATGAAATTATAAACAAATTATTTATAAATTTATAATTTACAATGTTTCACCTGATTCATCTGGGACATTTTTTAATTCAATTTCTTCATCAAAAATCTCCAAGTCCTTAACATAGTACCAAACTCCAGCATCAAATATTGTGCCAATTGTCACAAAACCTAAATTAAAATAACATTAATTATTATTTAAGCCAATTAATCAACTTATAAGATCAATAATTATAAATGTGAAAATTTTACATGAATATTATTTGAACTAATTAAAAATTGATTAATTAAATTAGAAACGTTATCATCAAAATATAAAACTTACTAGCAGCAGTAAAATTGAGAATATATCTAAGAACTTCGCCATTGTAAAGCCAACAATTGCCTGTTCCCGAGCATGTTTTGCCCCAAACGAGACAAGTCTTGTCTGAAACACGCCCACGCCAATAATTATACAATAAATTCAATACAACTCTCCAAATATCATTTACTTGAAGTAATATCTATGTATGAATGTAAGTCATTAATCAATTACCAAGAATATAACCAAAGAGTATGGGCGAAGGAATAAATGCGAAAAGACTCATGATTGTCAATCCAAAGCCCATAGCTACTGCTTTGTCTTTTTCTGCAACACATCTAACACTCACGAGAAAATTGGATGCTCTACCAGTAGCACCAGTGAATTTTAAAAGACATACGACCGTAAGAAATATATAAAATTTGTTTGTACAATCTACAGGACATGGACCAGGTACTGCAGTTCCTGTTGATAGTAATGAATGATAGTCTGATGATGAGTTTGCTTGAGCTGGATCTAGATCTTTCCATAATGACTTTGAGTATCTTGATCTTATACAGCTGCATTCGGAGTAAGTTTTTGTACCATTAGGATTTATCTGTATAAAATATAATCAATTGATAAGTTATATTGATAACTTTGATGGATGCTAAGAAAAAAAACTCATGGAAAATTTTGACAAAGATTTTTTTAACTGATTTAATTCTAAAAGAAACTTGTGATCATTTTTATTTGTTGAGGCTAATTTGTCAAGTTTAATTAAGATAGGGAGAGCTTAATAGCACTAGAATTGAGCAAAGAATAGACGTATATGGTAGGTCATAAAATATTTAAAAAATGAATACATACTGTAACTTTTCGACAGCCAGCATGACAAGCAGAGATATATGTTTTTCCATCTTCAGAACAAATGGGATTATAGGTCACATAATCACAGTCACAATCTACATTGCAAGGAAATTGAGTTTTCAATTCTCCAGATGAACCTTGTATGCCCATCACTTGATTGTCACTAGCAGGACATCCTAAAAAGGCGTAGGATATCATTCCCATGACGGAAATAGCTCCAATCATAACATTCCAAGCAGCGAGATATCTAGCTCGAGGTTTGTATTTAGAAATAATCAATCCTGATAAGAGAATTCCAAAAGCACTAAATATCAATCCAACAGTTCCGGTTACCAGGGAAGAGACGGATGCTGATTGTTTATACTGAGTTTCAATATATTTAGGCATGAAGATCCAATAAGGCATGTATCCAAAAAAGTAACATACACTAGCAAGATTGTTGCACATTAGTGTATTATTTGATAAGAGTCGTTTGAAGGTGATAACCATATCTTCAAATGAAGCTGGTACTTCTGGCCCACTTTTTTCATCTTCTTTTCTCATGTTTAAATTCTTTTTTTCAGGGTCCGATTTGTCCCGTTCGCTGGCAGTTGATTTGCTCCGCTCAAGCGCCAAAACTTTTCGAGCTGCTGCTCGAGGAAGAGTTTTGGGAAAGAGAGCGATGACACTCGCAAGAATAAAGAGTAAAATAGCTAATATTATCCATCCTAGCCACCATGCTCCAAGCCATCTGTTTTATTATTAAACTCATATTAACATGATTTCTTTCATTAATTAACAATTACTTACATTAATTTTTTTTATAAAAAGACAATTTTAATTTTTTTATTAAAAAAATCATTTTTAAATATTAATACGTTAATCATTTGATTAAATAAATATGCTAGAATATTGAATAAGTTATAACTAAATAGAAGAATACCTTGGATCCTTCATAGTAATAGTTGGAGTTAAAGTAGGGCTGATGTACAGTTTAAGTGAAAATGAAGCAAGCCCATATCCTATAGCAGGTCCTAACATTCTCAAGAAATAAGAAAAGCTAATAAGGGCTGGAGTTTTTGATTTTTTAATATTATCATCCATATAAGAAATGCCGAGGGTATAATAAAGTGATGCTCCAATTCCAGAAATAAGCTGAGCAACAAATAAAAGAATTTGTGGGGCTAAATTTCCGTCAGCTTCTTCACAATCATTTGTACGATTTTCTTGAGGAATACAAAGAAATTTCCTCTCTCTATCTATGGCTTCTGGTAACATTGATGTGTTTGATGGATTCAATGATATTCCACCAAACTCTTTAGTTAATTGAAGTGCATCCTCCCCCGGACCATACAAAAAATGCGGGAGCATCGTTAGACAACAGAAAATGACAACCTAAGGGCATAGATTATAATTTTATTATTTGACTTTAAATGTAAACATATTTTTTTATTTGCTCATTTGTTGATGAATAAAGATATTAATTTTACAATTTATCATTTTAAAAAATATGAGATTAGATTAGATTGTCACTTAGATAATATTGATAGGAAAATTTGTGGTGAAAGTAAATTTATTTTACTTACTGTGTAAATTCCAACAGCAATCCATCGAGGTCTATGTCCTCGACTAGCGTAGTAAGACAAGACGATTGATACGAGAAGCTGAGAGATATCATTTCCAACACTAATGAGACCTAAAATACATAAAAGAAAATCAAGATTAGAAACTATGTTTGCATTTAGTATTTTTCAGTTGAAATTGAATTTCTCAACAATTCATTACGACAGTTGAAAAGAAAAATCTAAACTAAATTCCATAATTATAAATATTTTAAAAATTGTAACATTATAAATATTAAATTTGCCATTAATTTTTTTTCGCAATTATTAAGACATAAAGTATTGGATTTGGTAAATAATTTAATCAATAAAACTTGAGTGAATAAAAAAATGTTAATTACCAGTTGTTTTAGATGGAATCTTGAATCTTTTTTCAATCGTGGTGATGGTACCATTGAAATAAGCAAAGCTTGCCGAGAATATGCAACCAAGAATACCATAGAGAAAGACGTATGCTTTTTTATTAGCAAATCGTTGGAGATTTGGACCACGTAAGAAGCCAATACCACAAGAAGTATCATCAGTAATTGGTAATTCTTTAAAAACATCATCAACTCCACGTATTGATGTTGGAGATGATGGTATCAACGGATCAACAGGTGTTTGTTGAGGATTTAAAAGATGTTCATGATCTGGTCCATTTTTATTTGAGCTTGAATCGTTTCTTCCTTTGCTATTCATTTTCACTTAGAACAATTACTGTAGATGGTTAAAAATTTAAAAAGATTTGACACTAGTTTATATAACTATGAGACACTTTTTTTACATCAGACATACAATGGTCCTCATTATTTTTTATTAAATGCCCTGATTAGGGCACAGATAAAATTATTTCACTGAATAAACCACCAACGTCACCAATTCATGACTTAGTACTTCAATGTGAGTACACAGGTCTAATTTACAAGACTAGATACACTTAGATTCTATTTGTGAGAGCGTGAACAAGAGTGTGTTACATGTGCAAAACGAATCCTCGCGCTTGAATGAATGATGATGTTTTTTTACCGACTGAGATACCTTTTATCAATGTAATCATAACTTATCTCTCGTGAATTCTGATCCCCTTCTACTTTTGGCTGCATGGTAAAGGTATCCGTGATAATTTGAAGGCTTGAGAAGAGAGATAGAAATAAAAAAGAGTAAATCTACCAACGAGGAAGGCTAATTAAGATATAAAAATTTACGTTGATGGATTATAAGTCGTGTGGTAAAATAATGTTAAATAGTGATGGTTTTATCTAGTTATTTGTTCATATAACAAACATGATTTTAAATTCTTTATTTGAAAAAAAAACACTAGAAAAAATTGGAACAAGATGGATCTCTTTAAAAAATGATCAAAACTGTGTAGAAAAAGGCAAAGTAAAACAGCTTACTGCAAATGTCACATGAACTATCAATAATTGAAATTATTAGACTATGTACAATACAGTTTACACCTTTGTATCTTCACAGATTAATAAAATTCTTCAATAGACCGTATTGGCTTGGTTTTCCCTACTGGTTATTTATTGAAAATGATTCTAATTTATATTGTAATACATTTTGAAGAAGTATTTGAAATGGGTTGAGTTATTTTTAAGTCATGTTTTAAAATATTCAAATGATCTACCTTTTAAATTTTCCTACAAGCTATTTATATCCATCAAACAATTTTTTAATTATAAAGTGACTCAAGTACAATTAGTAATTTCAAAGACAATTTTTTTGATCAATTTGCTCCAAAAAGAAAAAAAAATAAACAAAGTTTATAAAACGTTAGTGTATGGCTTGACCAAGTGGTAGGACCTAAACTCGATCACTGGTTGATGCTGGAAGCTCTAGAGCACTTTCGTAGACCAACTGTCTTGACTATGCTCACATTGTGAGTCCATTATGATTTAATAGAGTGAAGGCCCAGCTTGCATACACGCATATGAACGAGACCACACTATCGTCTCCGCGTGGATCTATCTTGAAGGCCACCTTCAACATTGTACTATCTTGCACATTTAAATTAGATTGCTAAATTTCCTCATAATTCCATTAGTCAGAAATCCTATATGCTACAACGCAGTTTCTATCTCTTTCTTCAAATAAACAAAAATCATTTTGATTAAAATGTTCAGTAGAGTTTGCAAATTATTTTAATATCAATTGTGATAAGATTTCCTTTTATTACAGGGATAAACAATTCAGGGAATCTGTACGAGGTCGTAAGAGAAAATAATGAGGTAAATCATTGAACTCTCAGAGAATTATTTACATCTCTTTTGTCGTCATTAGGATTTGTTGTGATAAACACAATCGTCATATTAACATGTAAATCATAAAAACTAAAATAGTCTTTGACGATAAAAGTTGTAAATTATTACATTAAACAAGACAAAGTTAGATTTTTATTGTTAATAATCCATTAGCATTTTTATTGCTTCATCAGTTAGAATAATATTTTATTTAATCGTAATCAAGTTGTAATTATAATGATTCTACTAAATTTAATCATTGCTTTTGTTATTATTAGAGAAATAAAAAAGGAAGGTTAATTGAAATGAAAAACAAGAAAGTGGAATATAGATAAAATAAAGAACATAAGGCGCCAGTCAAAATGATTGTGTATGTATATGAATGAATTTTGATAGAACGAAGTATAATACAAGGAAGTCGAACATGGCAATTTGCGTAGTAGTATGTCGAGAGTAAATTTCAAGTGAGATTTATGAAGTTAGACTACGACGTCAGACGACAACGATCTTGTGAGGTTGAAAAATCCATCATGTCAATGCTCATTCGCACTTTTCAAAGGGGGAGACACTTAAGAGAACGTTTTCTGACGTTTTATTATTTGAATAAAAAATTTTTTTCAATCTACATTATTTAACTTCTAAAAAATAACGAAAGGATTTGATATATTTAATGATTAATTTTAAAAATTGATTACAGAAAAATTTTATGTAATTAATACAATTATTTACATAATTAAAAAATCTAATGAACTTTGAAAAATAAATAGAATAATTTTTAAGTTCGACCAGACTAACTTTATCTTGCATTGTCGCGACAACGATCAAACCGGACAAGTAAGATTAACATCTCCATCAGTAATGTACCTATTATCAGATAAATTCAACTGATAAAAATAGCTGGATTAAGTGTACCGAAAGTATTTGTTTAATTTTTCATTTCTTTCAATTGATGTAAGAGTACACAGTGAGTAGATAATCTTTAATATCATAATTGTTGACAAATTTTTTTATCCTGAGGAAAAACAGAAAAATAACTAAGCAGTTTATGATTCAAATGTAAGCCGCAACAAAGTGCAACAAATGAAAGGACAGTGACAAGATATAGTCATGTAAACGTTCAATCGACTATATGGGATAAGAGAAGAGAAGGGGGGATTGTACTATGCCCTGCTTTTCTTGTTACTCTGCATGTTCTGACTGTACTTTGACTCGGAAGAAGATGATGATGATATCCAAGAAAGATGGGTCAGGGTCATCAAGTGTAAAATAGTCTAGTTACTAAAAGGTATACTTAATGCACACTTCTACATTTTTCATATCTCAAGCAAGCGAATAATTGTTTCGGTTTTTGAAGTAATTGTTTTATAACTCATTTTTTAAAGCTGATTTTTTTTACAAAAATGTGTAAATAGAATAAAAATTATAATTTAAGAATCATCTTTTTTATATGATTTAAAAGACAAATCAAAATAGAAGTCCATGTTTATTCTTAAAAAAATATTTTTTAAAAAATGTAACATTAATTGAATCAAAGCATATTTCTTTCTAATAAATAAATATAAAAATGAACATAAAATGAAACAATAATGAATGCAAGTTCTTATATGTAGTTCTTTTGCTCTTCTTACTCAGGTGAAGAAATATCTTCTTGGCTTACGGGGTCAGTAACGATCGATAGCACGACGTCGACGTAGATGAGAAAAGGTCGACGTCGCAGCGACGAGCAGGAGAATTCATTAGTCCGGAGATCTAGAAGGCTTAAAAACTAAAAGGCTCTCAAGCAAAAACTCCAGCGTAAAGACACCTCCCTTGGTTTCGCTTATTTCCGTTTGTTTTTTCAAGCATTTTCCGTTGTATCACGCCCCTCTCTAGATTCTATACACCGTCTTAGTAATCCTGAAAGGACAATGCTAAGGATTCTAGAAAAGTTACCAGGATAAAAGAAACATTTTTTTTTATGAGAATAAGATGTGAAATTTATTTGAAAAATAAAAATAAAATTGAAAATTGATGCTTGATGTTATATTCAAGTAAGATATGTTATGTTTTTTCATTGTACGTAATCATTATTTTATCATTATTGTCTCGAGTTATTATCACGTCTTCTTGAATAAAACTTTTACGTTTATCTTCTTCATCTGCACCATACAAATCCAGATTTCTGCTAAGATAGCATACGTAGGTATCAAATAAAACTGATAATAGTGTAAAACCTGGAATTAAAAATTAACATTTATAAGTAATTCAATGAATTTTTGAAATATTTTTAATATTTTATCACTAAAATACTTACAAGATCCAGTCACGTTGAAATAATAACGGAATTTCTCTTTATCATAATACCAACAATTTCCTTTTATGTTGCAGGAATTTTCCCAGATAAGACATGACTGGTCAATGATAAATCCATATACAATAGGGCCCGGAATAAGAGCAAAGAGTGAAATAATCATTAGAGTAACACCCTGGGCAACACTCTTATCTTTTTTTTCAACGCATCGATAATTGACCAGAACATTTCCGATTCTTCCAGTGGACATTAGTAAGTGACTGATCATACTTAGACCAACAAATAACATGTAAGCTTTTGTACAATTTCCTAGACATGGTCCAAGCACAACTGTATCACTCGAAATAGCGGAAATGTTATATTCACTAGCTTTATAATCATCATCAGGAAGATTTGGAACGCAACTGCAGTTGCCATAATGCCGTGCATCAATCGAGTTCGTGCAACCTGCGTGACAAGCTGAGAAATAGGACGTCATAGAAGCTTCGTGACAGACCGGCGAGTATTTAACATTGTCGCAATTACAATTAATGTTGCAGGATGTCGTAAAGTTTACTCTAAATAAAAAAATAATAAAAATACATTTTTATTTATTTGTTAGTTATTTGGGTAGAAAAAAAAGCTTTCAAACTTACGACATTGTAAGAGGATCGATTCCTGCTATTGGTATTTGATTACATGTGATGAAGATGTAACTAATTTGAATAATAAAAGCTACTAGACCACCAAATACATTCCAACTTAACAATCTTGTAGGTCGGGGTTTGACTTTACTAATGAAGAATCCAGACCCTAGGAAACCCAAGACCATTCCCACTAGGGCTATAGGACCTATATTCAATAAAAAAATTCACCTTGATGATTAAGTTATAAATAGAATTATGATTTTGGTAATTTAAACGGAGTTTGTTAATTAGTATTAAGTTATTTTAATCTTGGATGAAAATTATGACATTAAAATATTCTAGATGTAAAGAGGAAATGGGAAAAAAAGTTCTGTTCAATAACATTGGAACATGAATCAGTTAGTCTCATCTGTAGTATCACCTGTTATGACAACTAAGGAGTTTATTCATTACCAACCAATTAATTATTTACTTATATAGTAAACCAATTATAACAGCTAATTAAAATACCAAAGAAATTAATTGTATTGAAAAAATATACATAAAAACATTGTAGGGGTAAATGAATTAATTTAATTTTTTGAAATGAAAGTTCGTTTGATATTTCTTATTACGGAGCACGAAATAAACTTAATTCGATCAATAGAATTGGATAAAAAATAATAAAGTAGTCACAATTATTGCATTACATACCAGTTATAACGGTGCCACCAGCTGCTGAAGTATTGAACTGAACTTCAAGGTACTTAGCCATAAAAGTAAAGTATGGCAATAATCCAAAAATACCGAAGACCGCACTTAAATTATTACACAACAAAATTTTGTTGGAAAGTACTCGTTTCAATGTAATTGGAAAGTCTTTTAACGATGGAACGTGTTGGTCTTCTTCAGGAATTTTTTCTACTTTAAGAACTGGAGTTTCTGCAAATCCCTCACCTTTACTTTGAGTTTTTAAAGGTACTTCGCCTTCTACCTAAATGATCATTATTTTTTTAAATCTCATTCTTAATGTAATATTGTAATTGGATTCGATTAAAACATTTTTCATGGATTACCTTTTTGTGTTTCTTAGGATTTTTTTTTAGTTTAGGAAGATGTCGAGGAAACATTGCTATAAGCAGTGCAAAGATAAGTAAAAGACTACCAAGAATTATCCAACCGAGCCACCAAGCTCCTAACCATCGTGGATCTTTTTCACTTATTACAGGATGTAGAGATGGAACAATGTAAATTTTTAAACAAGCATAGGCGAGGATGAATCCTAAAGCAGGTCCAGTTGTTCTCAACGCAAAAGTAACACCTGGAAAACAAACAAAATTATCAGTTGTATGAACTGCAATATCATCGAACTTAATGATTCAATTATGAAAGTTGACTTTCGATAATTATATTAAATAAGATTAGTATGTTATTTTTTATCGATTCTTATATTTATAAATAAAACTAGAAGTCAAATGTAAACATTAATCACCTAACAACATTGGTGTGTTTGATTTCTTTGTGTTATCATCAAGATAAGTTTGGCCCAATCCAAAGTACAGAGTTGTTCCGATACCAAGGACGAACTGGGACATAAAGACGAGGAACCTTGGTAATAAACTACCATCCATCAGATCCTCTTCATCACATTGATCACGTTCATTTGTACCAGGACATAAAGATAAGCCTGTAGTCGTGGTTACGTTCAACAAAATACTTTGGTCCAAGTACTCTTGAGTCAACGCAAGAGCAGCTTTACCAGGACCATAGATGACATGAGGAATAACTAGGATAAAGCAAGACAATGCACTAAAACCTACTCCAGCAGCCAACCATCGTGGACGGTGACCAGCTCCTCCGTAATACATCAGAATCAACGATAATATTTGTGAGATCTCATTTCCAGACAATATAATACCTAGAAAATAATTTTTTTATAATGATAATATATTACATGGATTTTGATTAACTAACTAGTAATATCTTTAGTATCCTTACCTGTAGTTTGACTGGGAATTTTAAACCGTTTTTCTAGAGTTGTTAAAGTAACAACGATATAAATAAATGCCATGGCTTGAACAAGACCAAGAAAACCATAGACAACTATAAACATATGAGATGTTGCCAATTTTTGAAAACATTTTGGATAAATTCCACATAGTCCACAATGTGTTACTACTTCTTCCTTCATGTCTTTCACTGGCTGTGATTTTTTTTCAGTTTCTTTTTCAGTTTTCAGACCCTAAAACACATTCCAACTGACTTCATTAATACATTGCAACAATTCTTCAAGAAGAGACTAAGTAATTAATTTATCTCTAAAATCAGTGACTCAGCTATTAAATGATTATGTTATTTGTGAGACTTCCGCATGTGACTTGGAATACTTTTTGTTTTTACAGTATTTAATTTAATTCTTTATAGTAATTATAAACAAAGCTTCTTTATTTCTTTACTCGATAATTCAGGAAGTAGTGAATAGAATTTAGATACTTCATTTTTCATTATTTTATGATAATATTTTGTGTTTCTTCCTGATAAGTATTAGATAAAGTGAACATAGATAAAAATATTAATTATCAATACCTAAAATAGATTATGTAAAAAAGTTTTTGTTTCCTGCAGATTATGATTTCAAAATAATCGGTATAACTAATGAAATATGAAGTAACTCATTAAAATATGAAGATATTGAAAACCTTGAAAACAACCACAAGTAGTTGAAATACATACTTAAAGGTGTTCATATGGGATTATTTTACAAGAATTACATTGCATGATCAAATGACACCTGAATCTTAATGCTAACTGGATAACTAATTATTTTTATTTCTCGGTATCATTTAGAATGAAAAATTAAGTATTAAACATTGTCTGAAGTATTTCCAACGTACGATCAATTTAATAGATAATAGGTAGAAAGTTTATTTATTTAGCATTCACTTAAAAATATATCTAATCATGTGGAAGTTTTTTGTTTATATTTCAAAAATAAACTGAAAATCATTTGGTGAAAAAATCTATTGTGATCCACTTTTCAGCTGGTTAGCTGCGGAAACGAGCAGTTAAACACAAAAGCCACAGCAACTATTTGCTTTTATTTGCTCACGACGTTAGTTGACAACTCGACATCTCGTCTCTTACCTTGATACTAAACAGACCATTAGATGACATTTCTTAAAAATCTGTAAAATTTATTCAATCCCGATTCTTGTTAAAAATTAATTTTTAAATAAATTAATATTTTAAAAAGATAATTAGTTGATACCTAAGTCAATAACACAGAGAAATAGACCTTATATCATCAAGTAAATGAGTCTTCAATGATTTGCAGTAAATTTTATCTATTAATGCCACCAAGACAACATGTGATGATAGAACAATCAAGATGTCAAAAAATGAAATGAGTTTGTCTAGTCAATGATTTTGTTTAGTATTATCGAAGCTTTTTATCTGTTAGAAATAGATCACACACTAAAGCCAATCATTTATATTTGATCAATGATAACCAGTTTTTCTATTATTCTGCTCATTTGTTGTATTATTGTATGTCAGATTAAAAAGAAAGTAAATAAATTTACTATTTTTAATTTTTTAAAATAATAGACTGTTTTTACTTAAAAGTCATCAGCATTGATAAAAAATCTGTTTCAAATTCTAGTAGTGAATTGAAATATATATTGGAGTTCAAGATCTAAAAAACAACCTAAATTACTTTCTAAATCTTTAGAACAAGATAATTTCATTGACCTTTACTAGAAAAGAATTTTAAAGTTCATAGAATGAATTTTATTTGAAAGTTTTATGTCCATCTGTAATAAAGTATATGATTTATATAATGATTTACTGTATACCTCGCACATACTAAGGTACATGTGTCGAGGAGCACAATCAATTGACGCGGATTTTCGTTAGCGAATACGAAGCACACTTCCGTTACTGTAATCACATCAACTCGTGCTAAAGATTTCTGAATGATGTATAATCGTATTATAATAAATGAAAATTAACATGATTGTGGGTAATGACTTGCAAATATCTTAAGTGATAAATCTCTGATCTGAAACGATAGCACAAAAAATAGTCTGACTCAGTTAAGTTACTATTTTTATATAATAATTCAATTAAATTATAAAATAATAATGTTTATGATTTTAACTCTAATTAAGACTGTATAGCAATACATTTTATATTTTTCTTCTCTTTTCTATGTTCAATGCCAAAGATAATTGCATCTTCTCAACTATTCTTCATTCGAGTAATTGCAAAATGAATTTTCTAACAACAGCAATTCGAAAAAGTTATAAAAAATGATGAACAACAATTTGAAAATAAAAAGAATGAATTTTTACAGACACACATTGATCAATTTCAAACGGTTAAAAATTGTTGTAATTTTGAACGTTGACGTGAATTACTGGATGACAAGTTAAGGACTATAATATGAAAATTATGATGGAGTATACTTGAGTTATGATGAATGAATTCGGTTTTTAAAAAATAATTCAAAAGGCTTTATTAAGTTATATATATATATATATTTTTGATATATCCTCACCATGATTTCTCCCATTATAAATAATTTGGGAGCTTTGGGATTGATGATGATGATTTAATTTAGCCAGGGTGAACTGTGTAAGTCAAACATGCGGATACTTGACAGATCAACAGAGTTACCACAAAGAATATACGATCGCTAGAATATTCACGGGATAACTAAAAGTTAAATAGCCTTTACTATGATGATAATATTCCTTGCTCTTGGCCTCTTCACACGGTAGCTATCGAGGTTGCCCCCTCCTAAAATGACTTTTCTACTTGCGTGCTATTATGAGTGATTCAAACAATGCGCATATGTAGGCGCCAAACGTCGGTCAAATACATTGTGCTGGCATCTAGAGGATGCATCATTTCATTCTTTGTACAGCGTTTGAAGAGTTCTACTTATGATAACTATCATACAGAAGTGGTTTGAATTCACAATAAACAATTAAATAAATGTTACATAATTGCTCAAGTAATTAGAGTAATTGGTGATTAATTAATTGAGTCATACATTGATTGGAAGCTCAAACATCTTCTCTTAATTTTAAACTTTAAGCTTATCTATCAATACAGGGTGTATTTATTAGTAGCTTTTTTAGAACTGAAAAATCGATTCAATTGGAGGATTTATTAAAATTTAGTGAAGAAATGTAGGAGAAATAAAATATGTAATTACTTTCTCTGAGAGATAATATATTTGTTTTGATTTTCATATCTATTATGTCCCAGCATTAAATTAATTAAAACTAGATACAACAAATAATAGATATATTACAACTGATGTTATAGAGAACATTCATTAATATAGATTTGAAAAGTTTAATTAGTGAATAATGGAGTACAATGTTAAAGTTATCTTAATTTTTTTTATCAATGCTGTTTATTTTTTCTTCTATATTTGCATGTTTTAACATTAATAAATAATGCTCTCCATGCTTGCACTCTAGTCACATTATCGAGTGCATGTCTTCATTATAATTATGAAAATTGATAATAATAACGACTATATCTATTAATCGATAAAATTAATAAAAATATTAATAATTAATAATGTGACAAAATATTGATGAACATACTCATTAATGGCAATTATGAATGCTTAATAAAATTGAATTTAATAATAATTATTACAATAATAATAGTAGAATAATAATAATAATAAAAATAATGAAAATAATCATATAATTGAAGTTATTAATAAAATTGCAATAATAATAAAATTATTTTCATAATTACAGTACTAATGACAATACTATTAATTAATTAATTTATAATTCTATGTACGATTATTGTGAACTTATATTATAGATTTCTATTTGTAATTGAAAATTACGATTTCTTTTATACATAAAAGTCTCTACGTATAAGACTTTTTACAATATGTCTGTTTTAATAATTAACATCGTCATAAGAGTAAGAGTTAAATATGTATTGACGGTTTTGGTTAAAATTTGAATCTAAAAATTCTGGTAATTTGTTATCTGAAATTTTGTCTATTCTTTTCTTAACTATTTGTATAATTTAATTTAAAAATTCTTCAAGTTCGTTGTATAAAGGTCCTAAGACCAGTATTATCTTTTCACAACTTTCGTTCAATTGACTAGCTTCCGAACTTGTTTTTAATTTTTCTAACTGCATTATATTTAATAAAACAATAATTATCATTTGAGCGTGGTAATATTTATTTACTGTAATATCATTTTAAACAACAAGGCCTCTATTCAAAGACACTTTAATAGATTCAATAAGGCCACCTGTTTCATTAAGAATCGATAAAAGGATCAATAAACTCTCGATGAGTTTTATAGTGATTGTCAAGTGGAAATAATATAAATTCGACTGTCTCTTGTTGGTATTTCAACCGTCATTAATTAATAATAGTCTTCGATTATCGAAGATAATTAAATACAACGTTTAAACTATCTACATCTAGATCGACTACCTCCTAGAAATTTTTTCTAGTTTTATTTTAATTTTATTATTAGTCATTGATTGTTTCTCATTTGTTATTAAGTATTTTTTAAATTAATTATTCATTATAATAACTCATTTATCTAATTATTATATTACATTATTATTTATTAGCTGATTGATCTCGAGCCTCTTGAGTATTTCGAGATCCCAGGCGCACGCACCTTAAGATACTGTACTCTAAAGTATTCTCGACATAAATAGTTATAACGCTAAAAGTATAACACTCTTTGGAGGCGATTGGCTGACTTTTATCGAGGCGAGCCATTTTTCTTCTCCCATTTCCATTTTCTTTCTTTACTTTTCCTACTTTTTTCATATTCCTTACACATTTGGCTCCTAAGGGAAGATTAAGGAAGATAGAGGTTTATAAGATGTGTGAAAAAGTGCGATAACTTCAACGATGAGGAAAAAACTTGCGAGGTTTCCTGACATTGAAATAAGTCAGCAGGGGAGAGAATAGTTGAAACCAACTTCTTTTTTACTTTTTTAACTCTTGTCTTCTTTCTCTCATTCTTTTTTACGTTTTTTTTTTTTTTTTTTTGCTCTCTTTTATTCTTTCTGTCTCACTTTTATCTTGCTCGCTCTAATAATAGATTAGCAGACGTTCATTTCGTCACTAAGTTAGGAGTTAGACTTTTGCAGGGCTTATTGAAGTCTTGCTTCTTGAGGTGTCGTTTGGTAGGGCAATCCCGGGAACGCTGCACCCGTCGTAGTTGCTCCTTGTAATGCTGCCGCACCTGGCAATGTGGCATATGTGTAGGGTCCTACGTAACTTGCTGCAGCGGCATTAGCTGTAATGAAAAAAAATTTTTTTTAGTCCATAAATTCTCATATCAAAAGAAATGTACTTGAATAAGAACTATTTCAAGATTATTTAGAGTAAAGAGATTAGCATCTTAATTTTCAATTATTCTGATATAGAAGTCAATGATTAAATGCGTTCGTTGCAGTAGCAATGTGGTATCTATGTCAATGTTCAACTATATTAACATTTACTTTTCATAGCTAACATTTTTTCTGATAACTAGTGAATTTTAAGTGGTCAAAAAATCCGATTAATACCATGATTTTTAATTCCTTACAAGAATTTAATAGGAACGTTCTTTATCAACTCTTTCACCATGATTGACACTTGAAACCGAGTTAACCAAGTCGAATAATTTTTACTAGCCGATATATCAATTTTCAATCGTCGATTAATTGTATTTATAACGCAATGCTTAATAGGAATAACAATTGTTTTTTCTACCGATTGAAAAATTATGATACAATGGGAGAAGAAATTCAATTGAACTCTAGTAAATTCTCAACATAATGATCGACTAAAGTCGATAAAAAAGAGAATTAAAAATAAATTGAAAAGTGATTCTTAATCGGGTCTTTCCTAGTCAATGCGCAAAATTCAGACGATTTTTTCGTGACCTAGAAATCGCGATAATTCCTATTTGCGCTTTGTTATAGACGTACCGGCCGCGGCAGCACTGGTGTATGGATAGGCGGCTGCTTCAGCAAAGTTGTAGGATGACGTACCGGGATACGTGGCGGCCGCAGCGGCCGCGGCTGCAGCCGCCGCAGCGTTCTGGTACTCGTAGAATTGTGATGCCGCGGCAACAGCTGCTGCATGGCTCAACTGTGTTGCTGGTAGTTGCACAAGGCCTCCAGGTGCTGCAGCAGTTAGGTATGGAGATTGGTACATATAGCCCGGTGGAACTCTGAAAAATTTTTAAACATCATTAGTTTCGATTATTATTTCGAACGGATTTTTTGAAAATGTTTGTTAAATAAATCTCTATGCCCTATACTACTAATCCATTAACTCATTAATTCAATAAACTCATTAATATTTTCTAATGCGACAAAAAAGGCGCCGAGGTCGGGAGTCGGAGGGGTGAAGCGATATAGTGTTTTTTGTTCTAAACCTTGACATAAAATTACCAAGATATAGACAAGAGAAAATTCAATTTTTATTGTTTTTTTTTTAATTTATTTATGAACGTAACATAAAAAAGTAATAAAATATTTAATATATGAATGGTGAAGGACTGAGGGACTCAAGACAGCTGTAGTTAATTAATATGCTAGAGAACTCTAATGATTAATCCTGCTGAAAAATTGATTATAGAAAAGTAATTAAGTTGTACAAATACGTGACTATGACGGTAAATATTACTTATTCCCCACTGAAATGGAAAATTTTTGATGTTAAAACATTCAGTAGTTAGACTTGATTTAGAGAAGAATCAAATTACCTATTTCGGGCAAAGAAAAAAAAAAGCGATAACAAAAAGGTAAAAAAAATCGAATGGACAATTCCAACATCCTGGACAGCCCTGAACTTTTTATACGATCGATAATGCTTAGTGTCCAGTCTGCTAAACTAATCAATATTTCCGTAGTCCTGTGGCCTCGGACTCGCTTCATAGAAGCCTGCAACCTGCTTACTCTAAATGTCTAAGTACACACATCCACAGGACTCTACACTTATGAGGATGGTCAACAATACATGTGTATCCATAAGTTCACTTTTTAAGGCTTGAATCATCAAACTTTTATATACTATCATACCATTAAAATGCCTGCTGGAACCAGCGTCATAAGGTTACACAGATTTCATGTTGATTTAAAATATTTTTAATATTAGATAATATCTTGATTATTAGAATCCATTTAAATTTGATAAATTGTAAAAAGGTAGTTAAAAAATCAATACTAACTATTTCTGAATGACGTTCGATATAGTCTAACTTCATTTTTTCTCTAACCCTTTCGTGGCATATTTTCCATAGAAATTATCTATCGGTGGTATCTCCAGTGCGGTCACTGTGCATTATGTATGGAGACACTCGCGTGTCTAGTCATTCGGACAGAGGATTCCCCGCTGCCTGACTCCTCTAATATAAGTTCTTTCTTCTACAAATAGACCTCTTTTTTCCATTTTTATCAATTGTGGGATATTTTGTTGAAATTTCAGCTGGTTTAATCTGAATTTTATTTCTAAATTTATCTCAAATAAATTCTGAACTTCTCTACTGTATACATATTTTTTAAAGTTACTAATAAAAAAAGAACAAGCTGATCTTGATTAGTTCAAAAACTTCTCTAGTTTATTATTCAGTTTTAATTTTTAATGCTAGTCAGTTTACCCCAATTGAATAGAATGTATCAATCTTGTTCCAAAAATAACAGTTCATAAATTATTTATAAATTTGTTGACTCTCCAAAGTTAATTATTCTTTTATTTAAATAGATCAAAATAATAGCAGTGAAACAATAATCATATTCACCATTAAAAAAAAAACTTGTTTGTCAAATAAGTCCAAACACAGGTAGAGTACTTTTAAATATCATTTCCTGGCCAACTACTCATTCAATCTCAATTAAAAGAAATGAATGGTTTAAATTAAAAAGTATGCTAACAAATACAAAACATAATTCCAATCTATTCAATAAAATATGCGGGAGACCTGTTGCTGAAGTTTAATTGTCAAGAGAGCTACTTAACGTCTCCAGTACCATCAAGACAAGCAAGGAAGATAAAGTCGTTGTAAAAGTTCGATAAACTGCGTGCGTGAATACCCAATCTTGGAATCACTTTATAGTGCGGTCACAAAGCATTTGAGGGCTCGCAAACTTCCGTGACGGAAGCAAGTAAAGTACCCTCAATTTCCGATGCAAAGTGGCCCGTACGATTGCGATCTTTCTCTGACGCTTCCAACCCCTTTGCCTCGAAGCCTTCATATAAAATAAATAGTAATGGACATATAATGACAATGTTTATAATGGACCACAAGACTTTTTATTAATCTATCATGTGAGACAGAACTTAATCTACCCTTCTGGATAAATAGCAAAAAATAACGTCTAAACAATATCTCTTGGGGAGTTGATAATTGATGAACAAACGTTTAATCACTTGGAATGTTTTCACTGTGGATTGTAATGACTATTATGTAAATTGCTATTAAACTCAATGCCCCAGTGTGATTAGATAAGTAATAGAGAGAATGTACAAAGGGGTTTGAAACGATATAGAAGTGGTTGCGGATGTCAGTTGTGTTCGCGCCGGCGCCAAATGGATAATCCAATGGGATGATCTACCAATCATTGCTCACCAGACTTGGCCAATACCAAGTTGCTTGGGCGTGGTACATGTTAACTAAAATTTTATTATTATTTGTCATTTATATTTATTTAGACCGTTTTACACCGTCTATTAATTTGAAAGTATAAATAAACTTCAATTAAACATTAATAGCTATGTAATTCAGTTACAAGAACTATGTGTAATTGTTTTCGACCTGGATAAATGTATTTTTAGGTAATGTAAAGTCATGACGAATTGTTATTGCTTTACAAGAGAAAACAAGACATGTGAGATAAAGCAGACAGGTGGAGTGTGTAATGGAAATAGCGCAATTCTTTCACTAAACGACAATAACGTGTAAGAAGCATGAGAAGACAGAAAACTAAATCTTCAGTGGATGGAGCAAAAAGAAAATATAACGTCACATATGTGGGCGGCAAATCTTCGATGCTGTAGCTCTCACGTCAACCTCCGACATCGTTGGACAGGTGGATCTAAATAAAGACTGGACCCGTGCCAACTACCAACATGGCTGATGCTGCACGAGTCGTTATCTGTGACTTGCGACACTTTGAAAAAAAATAATGGGATAAAGTTGAAAGAGCTGTTTAGTATTGAATTTCATGTACGAGTTACTTTGATAGCCAATGAAAAATTATTTCACTTTTTAATGAAATATTCATGATTCTGAGAAAAATTTCAGTCTATCATGATTATTACTAAAAGTATTTAATTACTACTAATTTAATGATTTTATTTTTAAGGAAAAAAAATTCAGAATCATAATGATTGTAGTTATGCTAATAATCAGTAATATTATTGATGAAAAAATAACTTTATAAAATAGCCACCTACTCAGTAAAGATTCTATTTCGTAATCAATTACAATTATTTTCCTTTTAAATTACATTTTTCAATGAAAGTATAATGTTTTAGATCAACGATAAAAAAAATGCTCTATCAAATTATCCAGCATAAAATCATTAAAAATAATTTGATTGTTACTAACATGGTGTCAAGGGAATACAGGGAAAATACTTTTTTTCTGGTTTATTTTTCACTTTTCCATTTGTAGACAATTACGAGTGACAATTGACGTAAAATTAAATTGTTTAGAACACGCGGACTCTTCCCATTGGAAAACGTGTAAGTTATAAAATAAATTACATAATAAAGATGATGATTATTGGATCGATAATACGGTCAGTTGACTGAACGCGTCAGGGTTTGTTTAATGATTCTATTCAAAGGACACTATAGGAGGTCAACACATTTTTCAGAAGCTTTGCGGGAGCCAACAAACAAATCTAACAACTATTTATGGAGAATAGAAAATTTGGGAGATTCTTATGCTACTAGAGCCACTTAGTCTCCTCAATCCTCTTGTTGTTGATTTTTTTTTTTCAAATTTATAAATTTTTTAAAATTCTTTTTTTCAATTGATTTCCGAGGCGCCGCGATACGTTGGTTAAATTAAATTCACGTACAACACCCACAAAAATAAAAATAAAACTAAGAGTAATAATTATAATATGATATAATTATGAATGATTACGGAAACAAAGTGAGGAAAACCAAAAACAACAACAGTAAACAACAACAATCACACCAATAGCGACATCAAGTGTAGTGTAAGCTTTCTCCACACACGCAAAAGTTAATTATATTTTTTTATATGAAACATAATCCTTTAATTGTTGTTAGCTTGAGCATAGTTTAAATCATTTTTTCCCATTTTTTGTCGGTTAAAATCATCAAAAAAAAGTTTACCAATTAAATCAGATAAGATGATTTGTATTTTGTTAAATAAAAAAAAAAAACTGAAATTTGTTCTAAATTATTATTAGAATATAAAATGACATTGGCCGTGAGAGAAAAAAATGGGATGAAAGATATTACTAAGTTTCTGTAAAACACAACGCGTGATGGTGTTTGCATAAATTGATGCCACCAACGTGATAAAAGCTCATAAGTTGTGCAAGTCTACGTCGTCGCCGTCGTCGTGAGTACAGAAAAATAATCCAAGAAGACATTAAACATGAATATTTCCAATATTTTATCAATTAATTTTTCTTTTTCGATTGATATCATTTTTATATATTTGTATAATTTTTTTGATTAAAAAGAAATTTGAAAGTTTTTAGTAAATATTAATGCTAATAATTATTGTCATGTCAATAATTAATAAAATTAATAATAATTAACTACTCCAACGTTGATTACAAAAAAATCAGTGGGTAAATAGTAAAGATAAAAAGTAAACAACAAAAATTACAAGATAGTAACAATCGGTAAACAAACAAATTTCAATTCAAATCTCTCAACTCAATTGCAACCAATTAAATATTTCACGTCATTAAAAAAGAAGAGAGAATTAAATAAAAACCACACCCCAACAAAATTTTATCATCCTCGTAAAAATACGTGTATTATTAAATATTCAAGATAATATATGTACTCATGATTACTGTCTCTCTTTCTCGCTCTCCCTCCCTCTTTCCCCATCGACACATGATTTTTCGACCTCGCTCTTTTTTCTCACTATCAATTGCGCGAGAATGTCGCTATTCTTCTCAATCTCCTTCCTTCAACCCCTTTCCCTTTCACTCCTCGCAGTGTTTTCTTGCACCCTCATTGAGATGCTGAAATGTCATTGCACATTTTTGCTTTAAACAGAAACAGAACAAAACCGTAACAAAAACTATACAAAACCAACGATCTGTCCCATTTTAAAATTTTTCAGCTTTATCTTTTTTTTACCCCTTCAAATTGAACCTTTTAATTATGAAATCTCTGATTTATTGGAGATGTTCAAAATTTTCAAATATCCAAAATGCAAATAACCGAAAGATTGATGATAGTTTTCGTATTTTTTGATCTTGATGATATTCATGATTTTCTAGATGTGGTTTATCAAAAAGTTTAGTGGCTGGAGTTGATGAAAAACAACTTACCCATACTGGCCTGGTAACACCGCAGGATATCCAGCTCTAATTCCAGCAGCAAAAGGAAACGCTAAAAAATAAATTACAAATGTAAAGATAATCATCATTAAGAGCATACTAAATCAAACGATAGAAAAAAATCACGCAGAAAATAAATGTCTGTGTTATTCCTGATATTTCTCAATGATAATAATATTGATTCTCTAGATTTAAATAATAAATTTATATTTTTTTAAACATTTATTTGTATATACGAGCTTACGCGTATTGTCAACCAGAGGATAAAATAATAATAGAAAAATACTCTGTCATGAATAATTGAATTTCAATTGGAATTATTTATCAAATATTTCATGTTCAATGATAAATCATAGATAAGTATTTATTAAATATTTATGCAAAGTAAAAGTTTTTAATTATCAGTAGGTAAAATTCTAAAACTGTATTCTTTTATTTAAATATATAAATGTTCTAATCGAACAATAAAAAACCAAATTAGTTTAATTATTTTTGACTTGAAAGGGTATGCAGCGATACAAAATAATTTTGGCATGTATCCACAATTTAAACTTGAGAATGCACGAATCAGCCGAATGACTCACGGGACAGTACGTTTGAATTCTTCGTATCATTCATTCTAGTTTTTTTTGCGTTCCACTGTTTACAATTGTTGTTCTGCCAATAAACTTGTTTTAAATACTCCTAAATCAACAAATTAGATTTAGACATATTTTCATGAACATAATGAGAATCTTGAGTCTATCAATTTTAAAACGGTGAGAAGTGAGAACTAGTTCAAGTTTTACCAAGTGTTGATGGCTAAATGAACTAGATAAAACTTGTTTTCTTGGCTGATTTTCAATGACGCAAATGACGGATAATTATTTAAGAAATAGCTTTCAAATTTCCGTGGACAGATGTCTTGAAAAGATTGTCAGTGGAGCGAAACCGATTCCAAATTTACACTATGTTTTTTGGCTTAAGTAAAAAAAGATTTCCTTCCTGACTTTGGATCATCAAAAATTCATTAACCAGAAAAATCAATTCTTTCGTTCAGTCTAGCACAAGTGTGTTACGATTTAAGACAACTACGAAAACGAGTCAGATAGTTTCCACTTAGCAACTTGACTTGTATTGTTTTCTATGTCCTAATTACAATGTCGAATTATCTACTGATAATTCTTACCAGGTTGTAAAGAGCGATAAAAAAACTGAGCTAATCTCATACGTGATTATTGCATTTTTCAAAGACAAAGAAGGTTTAAAACAAATTTGTCAAGTAGTATTTTTAATTGTGAGAAATAAAAATGGTGTTAAAAAAAATAATCATGAATACGGAAGAAATAATAATAAAGAAAAAGAAACTTACTTGCTTGAATATTACCACGAGGTTTAGCACCCAAGATTGCTAGATTGACGTTTGCTTTCCGACCATCTATTATGGGATTTGGATCCTTGCATGCTCTTTCAGCTGCCGGTCTGTCGCCCATAATTACCTACATCAACCATCGAATTATTGTTAATTAACATGTTAACCCGATATTTTACCTTATTGTACAGAAATAACTACCAAAACATACTAATAACTCTTTATTTTTCTTTGAATAGCAACTAAATCGCTTGAGAACTGATCTATTTACATCAGTTTTAGAAATAATTAGCATTAAAATGGATATAAAATTTATTATCAACATTAAATAACGGTAAAATCATTTATGATTATTTAAAAAATCATTTAAACATTGTATTAATAGCTTTCTAAAATAAAAAAATGAATTGAAAATAGCAACAATATTGAAAGCTCTTACTCTACTAAGGTAATAGCAAAAGGATAACACCAAATTCACAGTTGAATAAAATCATAGAAAATAGTTAATTATTGTACATGAAAAACATAGCAATGAAATAATGAATACATTTCACTTAGCATACTTAATTTCCAACGGGAACTTTTGCTATAGGGAAAGTCAAAAACTGTGCAGTGATATGGTATTAATAGAAGAGTGAAGTAAAGGTTGTGAATAAGAATACTAGCATGAGTATCTAGCAGAAAAATAAACCACTGCACACTTACGAATCCATATCCCCTACTTTTGCCGGTTTGTCTGTCTGTGATGACAACAGCCTCCTCAATGTCACCATAAACGTTGAAATGCTCCCTTAAACTCTTGTCTGTTGTATGGTATGGTAATCCACCAACGAAAAGTTTTGTCCAGGTGGTATCTTTCTGTTGTGGTGTAACGCCTGCTAGAGCACCCAGACTAGACACTAGCTCATCCGGCCCTGCTGGTGCTGCACCAACAGCACTCAATCCTGTGGCACCTGGCATCAACATTTTTGCAGCAAACACTGTACTTTTCCTAATTTTATAACTCTGAAAATTCTTCAACCACTTCTCGAGACTTCTTTAACTCTTTCAGGTCCGCGTTTTCTCCTTCAAAACAAGAGTAAAACTAATCAACTATTTGAGCTCAAAGTATCACAGCCGTCATCTGAGCACGAACTTCCTAGAAACAAAAATACAAAAGTTAATATATTTATTTCACAATAGTACTATTAGTTATTAAGAATTATTTAGAGTAATCATTCTTTCTTGTTTTTATTATGAACATTAATCACAACCGTTTGCTCTCTATTTGGTGTCATGTTTTTTTTTTTTGTAAATTTACAAGTAAAGAAAGAAAAAAGAAGTAGGGTTGCTATTCTACAGAAGATCCTGTGCAAATGCAAATAAGTTTACGGTTGACGATGGGAAGAAAGACCAGGTGTGTATCAACAATTTTTCCCGCTCAATCAGGACCTGCTAAGACCGGTTGTCTATCTTTGTAGGAAATCCTTTGATAATCTATGAGCTAACTTGCCGGTATATAAATTGCTTTAGCAAAACTTTATCATTCTCTATTTCCACTTATTTTAGATAATATCAATCTCCTTCCCATAAACTATCTTCTTTAACATCCCACAGTACAAAACAAACCGACAAAAAATAACTCATAATTACTGTAATCATCTCCAACTGAATGTTGAAAACAAAATTCTCTTTTAGCATAAAAAAAGTTTTGTTTTCAGAATGAAAATAAATGAATCACTATGACAAATAGCATGATACGTGAAGTTTTATTTAGTGTACTTTTCAACAGCTTAGGATAGGATGCATTGCCAGGCTAATGTCCTTGGCGAGGGGTGCTCGCTCTTTCTCAATCCCCGAAGCAGTAGCGGACAACAACAGGCAGCTGGCGTTGGACGAACCGGTGCCGCCATACGACAACATTATTATTATGACGATCATTGTATACACGAAGCAGCGTGTAGCCCATCGTCGTGGTGGCGCACAGGTATGGCACACGGGGGCTCGTGCTATACCATACATAGTATGCGCTTTACCAAACGATCAAGGGATAAAGAGCAAGGGGGGAGGGACCCTCTGAGGTCTCCCTCAATGCTAGAGAACCTAGGGAGAGCCAAATAACTATCCGTTCTCGACTAAACCTACCAACCGAATCGCTTGCTGATGGAAATTTAGACGTACTTTATTCTTCTCTCCTCCTTTCCCTCAAGGCTCTAATCTCTAAACCAGGTTCTTTCGTACGTATCTATAGATTCTATAATATTAATTCTGCGCCAAAACTTAGACCTACATTGTCCTCGACCTATCCTTACCTTCTTTTAATCGAAAACATGACATATTATATTCCAACTTCAACTGTTAACTTTGGTCGTTATCGAAAGTTTAACTAAATATTGTTTATTTTTCAAAATCGCACAAAGAATCGTACACTACTGCTTTAGACGTGGTTTATTAATATACATGGCAAACACGTGCCTACATAAACGAGCCATGATGTAGTTCATCGCTAAATGTTGTAATTTTCTTGCTGAAATAACGAAAATTTCGACTCAAACAACATTTTACAACAAAGCTTTTGGCATGGAAACTTTTTTATCATTATTAAAGCTGCTCTTGCTTATGTAAATTAATGTTTCAATCAAATGCATACAGTTGACATAATAAAGTATTTTTACACCGAACAAATGTAAAGAAATAAATATCTAACAATCTGATGATGACATAATAAATAAATTTTGTTATTTTATTGATAATAAAATTGATAGAATCTTTGAAAAATTATAGCCCTTTAACATGTCTAAGACTGCATAAATGAATATCTGAATAAGTAAATAGTTTATAGAGCGTGTAATTTGTCGATAAGTATAGATAGAAAACGTTATAGAAATCCATGTTACAATAGGCTTTTAAAGAAATTTAGAATTTTTTAAGAAAGTTTTCAAACAATATAATTTGATTGACGAATGAACACATTTGATAAAATAAAAATGAAACATTATAAGAGAATGGATAAAAGATTTCAGAAAAAAATTTCCTTTGTATCGATCCGTTGTTTTTGGGACGTCGCAATACATATATGATGACGCAGAAAGAACAGTAAATATCAACATCAAATTTTTGTAAAAAAATCTATTGGCATGTCCGTTAAAAAGAAGTGATAAAAGGAACACTTACCTAAATTTGTCTAATACTTAGGGCCGAAATTTCGTTAGAAAGATCCTATTTTACACCAGAGACGTTCAACAGAACAATAATCCGAGTGCACAGAGGAATAAAATTAGCAGCAGCTTGGGATATTACACCAACGTTTACTCAGAATAAAACTCACAAGCTTCTTACGAAATCTCTTCGTAATTTTCACAATAAATAAATATTTAGTTGGATACACTTTAGAATAAATAAATTAATTAATAAATATTACAATAAAATATTTAATTTGTATATAATAACACGCGGTTTTTGAAGGGCGCGCGCGCGCACACCCGTTATGAACAGAGATCCACGTGCGAATGCCGATCTAGACTTGGGGCAGCTGCGCCACGAATGCTGGTTCGTCAAAGCCTCCTGGGGCGCTCATGTCTATTGGCCAGCAATCGCGTCTCCTCTGCCCCTCTTTTTGCCTCATTACCTCTTCTCTTTCTCTCGCAATATTTTCTCTTCTTTCCTCTCTCTTCCTTTCAAACGCAGTCTGCCAGAACTTTGTCCAAGCTACGTTCTTCTTTTCGTTATTGTATGAACTCTGTTTGCTTTATACACGTGTGTATAGGCTTCGTAACATACAACCAAGGCGTTCTCTTATCAACAAAAAAAATCCAAGACAGAAGACTTTTTGTCATACAAGTGTACAAGATAGAATTAAAAACATTTGATGTTATTTCGAATAAGAAATAATAAAATTTCAATGTAGTAATTAAATATTATTGTTAACTTTTCTTTTAAAAAAATACTTTATGTAGGACTCTGAGTTATAATTAATTTAGAATTTTTTTTTGAATGAATTGCAAGTCAAAAAATAAATATCAATAAGATTATAATTAAAGATAAATAAATAACAGTTGTATTGTGTAGATAGAAAAATTAATATTTGGAAAAACAATTCTGTTAATTCATGGGAAAAACATTTTAACAACAACAATTATCAGTTTCGAAAAAGATAAAAGTAGAAAAATCAATCCTAATCAATAATAATTTCAAGAATTGATCATCATTCCTTTTAAAGGAATTATATTAATTTCTGTCCCCACAATTAAATCTTGTTTCATATGCCGTACTGTACAAAGTTTTCTTGAAAATAATTCATATCATCAGAAACCGTTCAGTTATTTTGGTTCTTCATGTAACTCGTTAGATAGTTAGATTATGGATTATGGTACAGATTTTATAGAGTGTGCTTTTAAGCTGTTGGAATAAATTAAACCTTTCACTTATTATTTTCTGAATAAGTTCCTTTCTCGGTTTTAGATTTGTGCTGATTTATGTGCACGTCTGTATCACGTTTTACCTCGCGTCGCGACGCACCCAATCTATAAACTACTCCGCCGTCGAGCGGCTCTGGTTTCCGTTGCTATTCTTGTCAAACTTATACTCTGTCGTTTGCACACTAAACATACGTTGCCGTTTCTTTATGCCCAACTCTTCATATCAAAAGTCCACTTCAGATGTCATCTTTACGAATCTCTTCATAATTTAATTATCAATGCCTACATTAACATTAGCGTCCTTTTTCTCTACATTCATTTTATCTATTTTATCTATTTCGTTAGTTACATTTCTACTTAGGCTACATTGTATGCTTGGAGAATATAGTTTTCTCTTGAAAAAGATCGAGGTGGTCGTCTCAATGCAATGCGCCCGATACGCCTAGCCGGAACATCAGCTGTTGGAATTATCGTTGGAGTCGATGGCAGCTGTTCTTTGGAGAGAGTCGACCATACCTCGTCGTCGCTTTCAATGCATTTAATTCACCTTTTTCCTTTTAATACTATTCATCCTCTTCTATTTACTTCAAATTAATTAAAATTCTTGTCCAAAACATTTTTATCGATTGACATACATCTGAAATAAAAAAAACAACAACAACAAAAAAATAAAGCTTCAATTGAATTAAACATCTTTCTCTCAATACATGCATTTCAATAATTTACATATGAACAAATTATTATCTACATCCAATGCAACTTTTTCTTTTTATTTTGAATATTATTTAAAGATCATTTACAACTCTAATTTAAAATCCAATTAAAATATATTTTTTTTATCTTTTTTCAATACCATTTTGAGTAGTTGGTATGTTGTCATTAATGGGAAAACAATGTGAGAAATTATTTTTATTTTGACCTCTCCCTATCATTTTCATTTATTTCCCATAAATTCCGAATTAATGACAATTTATTCCCAAACAAATTATTATCGATCAAAAACAACCGGAAATGAGTAAAAAAGCTGATAAAATTGGAAGAAAAGTAAAAAATATGCAGTATGGTTGTAAAATAATAGATTTACTGGCAGCTTGGTGAATTTATGGTGTTTGTTAGACCTAAATATGTTTGATTTTCAGCTTGATAATTCTGTTGCATCAAATAACTCAAAGATAGTCCCAAAAAGTTACGTTTTAAATTACGTTCGCTGAGTTTAGAGTGCTCCTGGGTTGGTGTCGGCTGGAAGAAGACCCCATAGGTTTGTGGCACGCGCTGCCAGCTGCCCCACAGCTGTCTTTTCAACCAAGCAACATTTTCTCTCTTTTCGTTCCCTCGATATGGCACCTCTCTCCTCGCCACTTGGCTGCCTCCTCTTTCTTACATCCCTCCACACACTGTCTATAGCTAGATTTATTCTCTACACAACGCTTTTATGGGTCCTGAAAATCTCATGTACATGACGAAGCTGGGAAATTAAAAACTTTCCACCCCAGCTTTTATAAATTAGCAGACGTCTATTGTGTCAATGAAAGGCATTGAATAAATAAATGATCCTCAATCCATTGGGCCAATAGAGACAATTTCCTCGTTTATAACAGCAGTTTTCCGAGCACCAGGCCCATTGTGTACCTATAGAAATTCAACTATGGTTCATTTTCAATAAAAATTTTCAATTATTTTCATTGCGTATAGTAAAACTCAAACAAGGTAAGAATTATAGTGTCACATAAAATAAACAGTCACATTTTACTTCAATTTTTTTTTATTCGTTCATGATCCCATGAGAAATAATTGTTTGTAAAAAATGATAGCTTTAAATTGTCAATTATATTTATATTATCAAGAGAGTTTGAATGTTATGTCATCCATATTTCCTTATTTATTATTTTTTTAACAGTCCAATTGTTGATGGTAAAATTGATTGTGACATCATCAAGAGATCTTACAGAGTTTACTGATGACATGAAAATTTTCTCATGTGAATTTATGTATCTATTATCCGATCGAAAGTTTGTAAAAATGAGAACAATGAAGAATACAGCGATACTTTGGTGAATATGGCTTTGAATTTGTGGTTTCTCATCCGGCTCGTGCGTATTCGGAACTCACAGGAAATATTGCTGTTCCGAAGAGTCCTAGAAGTTGTTCGTTAAGGCTATTGGGTTTCGGTAGTGACAAAAAAAGAGACAAAGAATGGTATAAAAAAGGGGAAAAATGTACAACTAAAAAGGATACATAAGGTGGCAAGTAAAAGAGGGAAGAGAAAAAGTGTAAACGACGAGCATACCGTAAGGGCCGGAAATCCGAGGGCGTCAACCCCACTCCATATTTTTTTTTTTCTATATTGTGTGTATTTAAATTTAAATGGTAAAAGGCCTGCCGCAACGCATTTTAATTCATTCAGCAAAGATTTCAAAACTGAACTAACAAGATTCGGTACTTTTTATGCATCAAATTGACCAAACAAATCGTTACATTTAAACAAAAAAAATTTTTTATAGCAGTAATTTTTTGTAAAAAAACTGTAAAGATATTTTACATCTTTATGAAGTAATAAAATGGAAATTAAAAATATCTCTGATGTAAATTGACTTTATTTTTGAAGTAAAAAGGCATTTTATATTTTTAATTTGTAGAAAAAAAATAATAATAAATATTATTTTTTTGTTTGTAACGTATTTTTAGATATAACAAAAATATGGACACTTAATCTTCGATGTTTAGTAAAGGAAAAGAATATAAATTTTAGGAGATTTTTTTTTTGAATTAGTAGTAATGTTCTCTGGGTGCGTACAATTTCTTTTTTAAAAATAGTGTAGATGAATTCAGATGGTGATTTAAATGATATTTAAAACTTTAAAAGACAGACATTTGGTGTCTTGTCGCGACTGTACGTCAGTCATGTAGTGTTAGAGACAGTAGATCTGTAAATAGATGAGCCCAGCTTCCCCCAATCTGGTCCGAAAATAAAGTGGACTTTTCCATGGAATCACAACTCGTTCATTGGCTATCGTTGACAGATGAAATCACTCATAGATGAATGACAAAAATGACTTTGATTTATTTTTCACACTCAACTTGAAGTACAGTGTCGCAATGAGAAGTGAACTCATCTATCTCAGAATCCATTCAACACTATAATAAATTATTGACTTATTCATTACACTACAATAAATTTCATGACTCTACACTTCTATAATGTCTGTGATTATTATTACCTTCTTCAAATTTTACTCTTATACGATCAAGTTCATCATTAATTTTAAGCTTATGATTATCAACTTTTTAAATATTTCTTTTTTTTTTCAATATAAACATCTGTGCAATCTTCTATACAACTGTATCAATACAATGTTATAACAAATGTTTTTTCTTTTTCTTATCAACTTCAACCTTTCAATTATTCCAGGAATGTGAAAATATTGAATTTATTATTCTCTCTAATAAAATTTTCGATTAATTAAGCCTGTAAAAAATTAGTTACTCAAAAACGTTACATTTTATTTTATTCAATTAAAATTTCCTGTTAGTATCGCAATGATAAACAGACAAGAACGAATAATATTAATTAAATTGCACATATAGATGCTTGTTGTTGTTATCAATAAAAAAATACTGTTTTATTTATAATGTGCATGCATGAAACTATAATTAAAAATACAATACAGCGCGCTAATGAATATATAATAATTATTAATACACATGAAAAAAAATATTTTTATTTGAAAGAAGCTTAATAATGATACATTTCATCATATAAAAAAAAAGTTATGTTTGATGTAAAATTAATAATATAGATCACAATAATTTTTCCACGTGACGTTTATTGATAGAAAAGTTTATGTAAATGTACCTTTTTAAGCCCTTCAAATATGAATACTTCTTGTTAAAAATACATTTCATGCGATATCTGTATAAAATGTAGAACACGTTACCCTACTTTCAACACATTAGATGGTATAAAATCATGTTTTTTGTTTAAAGTCTTTATTTCTTTAGAAAATTTTCTTGCTCGTGCGTACGATGGATAAACCGGCCAGGGTTCTGGAAAATCAGGAAAAGAATTTCCAAATGAATGATCAGTTACATATTCAAAATGTGGATCATTAGAATATGGATAATATTTAGAATTATGAAAATCTTCATGTTCATAAACAGGCGGACCATAAATTTCATTAGGTTGTCCGTACAAAGAAGCAGGTATTGCCGGATTGACAGGATATGAAAGATCTATTCCATTGATATTTTGAGGACTTCCTCCATAGTAACCAGTATAGCTTCCAGTTGTATTTATTTGTGGCGTTGGTATTAGTGTAGTAGTTGCAATTGTTGTAGTAGTAGTAGTAGTGGTAGTTGGAGGTAATGTAGGAGCTTCAGTTAAAATTTGTTGGGTAGTTGGAGGACTAACTGGTTCGGTCGTCGTTTCAATAACTGGTGGCGAAGTTGTTTGTTCCATCTGTTCAGCTTGTCTTTGCTCCAGATCTTGCTAAAAATTCAGTTCACAAGTTCAAATTAATTTAACATAAAATCATTAAATGTCTTTTTTTTACTATAAAAATAGAAATAAAAGACAATAGTTACATTTACTTGCTTAATCGATTCTCTAATTACATCCTTTAGAATAGAGCAATTAAAAACCTCTCGGGTATCCCTAGCATTAATTATCTCAATATTTGCTGTTTCTTCCCCTTCAGTGACCTCTTCAATGCTTTCAGTACTCACATTATCCTGAGTTGTTGGAAGTATTAATTGTTCTGTTGTTGTAGTCACGTAATTCAAGGTATCATTTCGAGCCAATTGTGATCGCAAGTTCTCTAAAGCATGATATATTGAACGTAGGGATTGGTCCAGAAGAGTTGTAGAAAATGTAACATAAGGATAATGAGAATCATAGATATTTAAATAATTAGAGGAAATAGGTAAAACTCCTCTTTGAGGAATTGAAGCTGAATGTAAGCCTGTATGAGAATCTATCAAACTAGCAGGAATTGGTCTAGGAAGTCTTGTTGTAACTATTGAATTTGGCGATTGAAGAATACCACTAGATGCTATTGCTGATGAGGTAGCCAAAGTTCCAACACCTAAACCAGTTAGAAATGGTAAACTGGTGAAAAATTTCCCAGAACGCTTTGAACTTCTGGCTTCTAAATAAGATAATTGATCATTTCTGTTGAGATTTGGAAGAAATGATGAACGTGGTTTCGACAAATTGACTCCATTGTTGGTAGAAAGTTTTTTATTGTTAATATTTAATGAACTATTGACGGGTATAGACCAAGTTTCTGTAAGAAAAATTATAGGAATTGAAATAGAACAATTATTATCCAGTATGGTATGTATCAGGTGAATATCAATTGAGCAGTAGATATAATGAGATGATAGTTCAATTTAGTTGATATTAATTTATTACTCGTTAAATGAATAATTGATTTATTAAAGTAATTATTAATATTTATCAATAATAAGATATATTTCTTTTAATAAATAACACTCTATACTTATTACACTTACCTGTTAAAAAGTTAGCACAAATAAGAATACAAAGTAACATTTTTACGCGAGTCATTTTTGCGTTGCTGATGTCAATAGTGAACTGAAGAATTTTTTAAGAGAACATGTAAAGAAAAATCTATTCCAGATGCGGGTACTCTTTACCCTCATATTTGGCAGATGAAAGTGCGTTCTCTATTGATATGTCTAGTTAAATGACTTAATGAATAGGTCAAAATATTTTGGTAGTATCAGTAAAATGTAGGTTTCATTAGTAGCACTAAAAAAAATTAGAAACGACATGACATCATAAAATAAGCAGGAAATTTTTCCGTTCTTATCACTTAACAATTTTTATAGCTTCATTTGACAAGTTTGAAAGTAAGAAAGTGTCCCGCTCTACCACCAAACGTGCGTCACATGCGCACAACTGCAAAAAATGTGATAGTACAGCGCAGTATCTAATGAATTCACGTGTGAGTTTATCTAAATACGTAAACGTAAACAATAAAACTTGCCAAAATGTTAGATGAAGAAGTTTCTACGAAGGAAGTAACAGATATTAATGAACAGTCTGAGGTGCCAGAATTTGCGAAATCTGAGAAACAGGAAGCTCGAGCTTTTTTGAGAGAAAGATTTATACAATTTATGATGTCAATTGTTGGTAAGATGAAACAAAAATGATTTTATAATTAATAAAATATTTATCATTAGTTAACTTTTTAACAAATATTTCTAATATGTTAAAAGCATTTTCGTAAACTTCAACATAAAAGTATTTTTTAAAACGATTGAAATTAAAAAAATTATTAATAAATAAATGATAAGAATTTTTGGTTGATTTGTTTTAGGAAAAAAAGCCGACTTTCACATGTATGAAGATACTAATGTATCAGGCGAATTTAGAGGTTGCGACGTAGAATGTTTAGAATTATTTGTAAACAACTTAGGTACACCTTTAGGCATTGTTCCAAAAGCGATACTTAGAGCTACAGATGTAATAAGTTTTGATGTAAATAATGTGAAGCCACTTGAATAATTGAAATATCATTATATTTTACTCCTTTAAATGGCTTATATCAATAATTTAATTAAATTTATTTACAAATTTAATTTATCTCTAAGACCTTCGCATATGTAACATCGTATTGATTTCAGAAATTATCCTTCTCAGATGGTCTATAATTTCTTTTAAATGACGATTTTTCGAGATTACTTGCTGAAATATACAATATACAAAATAGTTTTTGATAACTTTATAAATGATGAAGCAAAGAATTACTTGATTCAATACAAATTGAATATACTAATTAATAATCTCTCATTATTTTACTCACCTCAATTATCTCTTTACTTTCTTCACAAGCCAGTCGGTAAGCTTCTGATGTTTTCTTTTCATCAGATTTCATATCCCACTCTTCTTTCAACGGTATCAAACTTTCTATATGTGTATATTCCATACCTTGAAGTTGGCAATTTTCGTTACATTTTTCATAAATTAATCTTAGACGTCTAAATAATATTTTCACCATTCGTAATTGATCCTGAACCTTTGTTTTCTTTTCGTTAGCTACATTAGCACCTTGTGTAGTACCTGAAAATAATTCAATTAATAGTTACATACTTTCTGTTTTTCAAACACTTTTTTGTTATGTTAAATAATTATACCATTCGGCGGCTGAAGAACTTTTAACGTTTGGAATAATTCTATAGTTCTATTGACAATTTCCTGAACTGTTTCTTGTCCAAATTTACATAAACTAACAGTATTAACTTCTTTATTTTGTTGCTGTTGTTGCTGAGGTTGCTGCGGTTGCTGTTGTTGCTGCTGTTGTTGTGTTGATGGTTGAGTTGGAGGTACTGGAGTTTGCGGTGTTTGAACTTGATTAGTACTCTGAGAACTTTGAGCTAATTGCGTGGCCTGTTGCTGCTGTTGCAACTGCATTTGTTGCTGCTGTTGTTGTTGCTGTTGCATTTGCTGGATTTGTTGTTGCATCACAGTCTGCTGTGCTAATTGTTGTTGAGCCATCACTTGTTGAGCACTTGACATGCCAATAGGATTTGTACCGACGCCACCAACTCCAACGCCAAACTGTTGAGGATTTACCATGCCTGCAAATAATATAGTATATTATAAATAAACAACTTTGAAATCGCTTGTTATTGGAACTCTAAATATAGACCTGTTTGTTGTGGATTCATTAATCCAGAAACCATTTGACCTCCTCCAAATTGTGTTCTCATCGCTTGTTGTTGAGCAGTAGGAAAGCCTGGTGGAAAGGGATGTTGTTGTCCGGCCATTTTTAAATCTTATTCTATTTTATTATCTTTTAATATGAATTCAAAATATTTGTCAGATCTCTATAAAAATTAAATCATTTTTTATTTATGAAAGTTATTTATATTACGGTCATTTTTATTAAAAATAGTAATATAATACTTTGAAATTATAACCTCACTGCTCACAGGTTAAATTTCACCACGCTTGATGAAGTTGTTATGAACTGGTATAAAAGGTTTTAAGTCTTGTACCTCTCATTTGAACGATAATATTGATTAAATAACAATTAATTTCTTATATTTACACATTTATTCCAAAATGTAAATAATAATAAAGTGTTGACATTGTGATGCCACTGAACACTGAAACTTTTCAAAATCATGGGGGCAGCACTGTGCAAGTATGTTGCATCTATTTCGATACATCGATATTCAATGTATCGAGAGTTACCTGTTTATTGTTATTTGGGGAATATGATGCTACAACTGTCACCTATGCGCATGTCAATTATGATTTCTGTTCACCAGTGATTGAGTTACCATAGAAACGTATTAAACACAATCAGATTAAACTTCTGCAAATTTTTAGTGAGTTCAAATTCACATTCAATTTTTTTACAATGGATTGGGTCAGTGACCTAGAAATTTCATCTAAGAAGGTATTTTTTTTTGGTTTGTCTTCTTTTTACTTTGCTTGTGATTGTTGGTTGTTTTTTCAATTATTTCTTGAATTTTTATATTTTTTTTATTGATATAGACCTTTGTGTGAGTTTGATCTAACATAACAATCAATTTTCGGTGACAAGAATTATTTACAGCAATTAATACCAAGACTGGGTAGACGTGCAACACAAAGTAATATCCAAGAAGACCAAAAATTTGAAGATGAACCAGAGAGTCCCGTTTCTTTTCCGTCCAGTGGTTCAATACCGTCTTCTGCAGCACCAGTTGCACCTCCTAGAACGAGAAAAGCAGGTTGGAGTGATGAACATAAAATAAATAAGTCAGTATTATTTATTATCCTTCAACTAATTGTTTAGATTCAATTAAAATAATTTATTAACTGAGTTTTCAATTTACTTTTTATTCCAGAACTAAATCTGCCAATCTGATAGAGCATGAAAAAAATCGTAAATCAAATAGAAATGACATTGAAGATGGTAAGATTTGATAAAATATAAAAGGAAGAAATGCTTTTCTGATACTCAATTGATTACAATAAAATAAATGTTTGATATTTTTGTAGATATCCCCATAATTCCTGATATTGAAGAAATCCAAGAGGAAAGTGGATTCTCTCCAATAGAAACTGCTATTTCGTAAGTATGATTCATGATGATAATTAATATCTGAAATATATTATGATTAATAAATAATATTTTAGTGCTGGCATAAATCGAGTGACGGCTTTCAAAGATTTAGATACCGATTTAATAAAAAATGCATCATTCGCATTCCTAGATGGAGTAAACCTCTCTTTGCTCACTGAAAAGTTATATCCAGAAAAACTACTTGATGAACCTGACGAAGTCTGGACATGGGATTCCTTATTCACTCAAGTATCATCAGAATTAAACAGTGAATCTCAAAAAACAATGAAAGAAACTCGTTAATTTTTGTTTTCTCGTAAAAATATTATTTTTATAATTAAATATATTATGATTATAAGGATTGATAGAACAGAGAATTTATTATGTAAATATATTTGTAAATAAATATTTACCTAACAGTTTAAAAAGAAGTTTTAAAATCTAGAATAATTAAATAAGTAAATGGGCACTACTGGAAATATTTCTTATTCGCTAAAAAAAGGTCTATAATTTATTGAAAAAAAGAATATTAAATCCTTTGACTAACAATTTGTTTCCCATCAGCAATAATTTTTTCTTTTTTTCTATATTTTAGGCTTAATTGTCTGTTTGTTGATGTATCTACCTTAATAAATAAAAAAAAATGTCATGAAAATGGAACAAAAAACATGGCATACTGCTGAACTGCAGTGCCTGTATATGGAAGTGACAAATTACCTCGTCTGACCTATTCGATTGCCCCCCAATTTTGGAAATCGCGGTAGTTCGAGGAGCGACGTGAAGACTCAACCGTGCAGGCGTGCAAATCCGTGATGCCGGAGCATCACGCAGTTGATACACGCGCAATCGGGAGCCGAACACAAGCTACTTGAAGCGACCACGTGACAACACCCACTGAGCAGATCTGCCATATATCTATACCTTAGCGATCAATGTTCAGCTGTGCCATCACTAGCACACACTTCCAATAGCCCTCCTTTTAAATCTGAGTATTTATTGAAACTAACTTAACCACAATCACATGCGAGAAACTTTCTTTTAATCAAACAAATAGCCATCTGTTCCAATTTAATCAACTGTTTATCAAAATGTTACAACAGTTTTCTAACAAACCTAATGCAGATGCAACTGATCAAGATTCGATACGAAAAACACGTGATGTACATTCTGCGTCCTACTGACAGGTGCTGCCATCTCAGTTGAATTTAAATTCAAATGACTATTATGAAAATAGCTAATCGTAATCTTTCCATCAACATCTCGTTCTAATAAATAAAAAGCATTATTGCTAACAAAGACCTAGCGAATTTCTATTTTTTTATTTCCTGTTAGATGAAGCTGATCTTTTTTTATGTATTGAAAACTGCACTATTTTAGTGGCTATTAAAATAAGTTATGAGTCCATAAATTTTTTTACAATCCAATGTATGTTGCAATTTGTTTTATAAAGTCTTTAGGCTATTTTTTAACTAAGTACAGTAGGAAAAATATATGAACAACAATGAAAATTGAAGCTTAACATATCGATTGTTCCAACAAACGACAACTCCAGGTGGTAGACCACTGTTTTTTCAATGCACTTTATTATTACGATTGTTCTACATTGGTGTCTTATTTAATTAACGACTTAGTGGGCGATTTTAAAATCATAAAATTTTATCTTGAACTGAGTAACACTAAGTGTACACTAAGAGAGGTCATTCTTGAATATTTTTGTTCCCAACCTTCGTCACGTAAAATGTTTTATATATTTTTTAAAATAAAACTATATACAAATTTATTGTAATTTTCACGACCTTCTTGCACATTTTTTATCTTCTTCTTCAATGCTTGTAATAAATATTTACATTTTTTACAATTCAGATATAATATGAATTTTTTATGGAGATTCATTTTCTTTTTTTTTTATACTGTATAGTTGTACAACGCTACAACTATACAGAGTTACTTCGTTAAATCGTCGACGGACTGCAGTCTCGCAGATTCCGTCGAAGCGATCGCACGTTTGTACTTGGGAGTTATTATTACAAAGTTAACGATCACTTAAAGCATGTTTTAAAAAAATGATAAATTTTATTTAAAGTGTGGGAAGGATTGTAATTCAATTTATCACTGTTATAAATCAAATTAATTATGATTTTAATATTTTCATCAAGTTTGAGTATTCCATAAAAGAAACGTAACTTAATATAGTTCCTTTTAATCAAAACAAGAGTTAAAGCATAACATTTTATTACTGTTTTGTGTTAAAAAAAATAGTGTTTTGAATTTTCTTTCTCTTTCAATGATAATGGATGTACTTAGTGATTAATTATTGTTATATTACACTATAATTTAATTTCGCAAGTTGTTAACAAAATGTTTTTAATGAAATTTTAAACGATGAAGAAGTTTGATTAAAAAGAAGGAAAATTCACTTTTGACTACAACACAGTTACTCTTAGATAATCCAAATGGAATTGTGCTTAATTTTCCGTGAAAGTTTAGAAGTAGTAATGGAAACGTGTAAATAAATACTTTAGTGCAAACGTTAACGAAAATAAAGATGAGAATGACACTGATGACAGAAATCATAATGTTTCTTCAATGGTGGTTTAAGACATACAAAAGACATTGAATAATGATAATATTATCTCAGTGGCGTGCTTAGCACGACATTCATTCATGGATAAAATGCCATAGATTCTTCAATTAATCACTGTTTTTTTTATCGTCGCAAATTGTTTGACTAGATATACTTGGTTGTTTTAATTATCTTTATGGTCATTAAAATTAACATATCACCATGCACATCAAACACCACGAGATTGATATTTAAATGAATAATTATTAATTGTAAGACATGTGTTAAAAAATAATAAAACCCTTTTGAGATGATTAAAAAACAATTAATGAAATATTAAATACAATCAAGAAAAATTCAGTTATTAAAATGTAATTAAGAATGATCAATTCTTATTGGGGTGTATTAAAAATGCAATTAAAAAAACCAATTAGATTGAAAGAAAACAAATTATTCAAGCTTAAAAAATATAAAGCTTGTAATAAAAATACAAGAAATAGTTATTTATTATGTCATAGAAAAATAAATATTGAATAATTGAATACTGTATTGTCAGCTAAATGAAAAAAAATATGCGGTAATATGAAGCTTCAAAAAGAAACTTGAGATGAAAAAAAATTTGTTTACTTTAATAATGACTCCATACATTGACCCAGTAATAGTTGGACTTTTGCTATCAGATTTACTGCAAAAAGCAGTTGGATTAAATGATGTTGACTTTGTGGAGGATGCAGCAAGTCATGATAACAGCAGTAACATGACAAATGGCAACAGTAATTGTTCAAATAATTTGTGCATTAATGATGAAGAATACATAGATTTGATAGCTGATTTTTTGAGGCCTAATCTATACGATTGGATACTTATTACAATGCATATTATTGTGTTCGTTTGTGGAATTCTAGGCAATATGCTTGTTTGTATTGCTGTATACAGAAATCGATCCATGAGGACTGTCACTAATTATTTCATTGTTAATCTCGCTATAGCTGATCTCATGGTAATAATATTCTGCCTTCCTTCGACTGTCCTTTGGGATGTTTACGAGACGTGGTTCTTAGGAGAGAAGCTCTGTAAAATTATTCCCTATCTACAGGTAAAAACTAATTAAACTTTCACTAACTTTCAAAATAAATGTACTGTAATTGCATTATAAATTGTATTTTTTTCCTATTCATCAAGTTTCGTTTATTTCTTCAAGCTTTTAAACTATTTCATGATCATAAAAATAAACTCACAGTTTCTCTGATAGATGGCGAATAGTGAAAATATTATCATAAGTGAGATTTCCTTTTAAGATGATAAATTAGTTGGAGAGATTGTATTTATTTAAAAAGGGTGCTCGCTACTTGCATAGCGCGTCAGTTCATTTTGGACTGGCGGGGTATGGCTATCAAGACATACCCAGTACGTAATTTTTGGATTTGAGAGGCTGTTAGCTGCCATTTGCACTGACGCCTCCACTACACATCAAAGATTAGCTTAAAGGAAAACAGAACTTGGATAAAAAAAAGTTATCTTTAAGTGACAGCTTGGAATTTATTGTTCTTCTTTTTAACAAGAATGAAGTTCAATTATCATTAGTAGTATCGAAGTGAAATTTGACAATTAATTAAACTGATAACAATTTTTTGTTATTTAACTGTTAGAACTATTCTATTCACTTTTTTATATTTCTAAACATCAATAAATAAAAAAGTAAAGAATAAAACTTACATTGATCAAATACCTTTTCACTAATTACTGACAATTTGTGTATTTAAATCTTAATTTTTACTGAATAATTATTGTTATCATCGAGTTTTTTTAAAAGATGTTTATTGGATATCATAGATGATTTCGGTCAAATCAATAAATAACTTTTTACTGTCATTAAATATTTTTAGTATGATTTATATAACCACTAAAAGATTATATACAGTAAGAAGATTTAAGAATTGATCAAAATTCAACGACAATTACTATGAGTGATTAATTTTTTTTACTAATGATATTGACTATAATCTGTTGTACAAATAATTTAATATGGAAAAAAAGTTCTCATGGCCATATAGTAGCTAGATAAGAATATCATCAATACAATAAGGATTTGAACCATTTATTTTATAGCTTACTGTAACTTTTTTCATCGTATAAAATTTTTTCTAGATAACAAAATACTTTCCTTTCGGTTATTTTGCATAAAAGAGTTGAATAGTGTTAATAATAGATTTTTGATAAAAATAGTAGATTATTATTTATAGGATAAATTTAAATCAATCATAAAATAATTTCATGTTTTCATTAATTTATCTCACGAAATTTTGATATGAATCACTTTTAGCGGTGAATAGATAAACTGTAATTATTATTCAAGGCAAAGCTTTGAACTTACTTAACGTTAATCACTATCCATTACAAATATTCTACTTAGCTATTTCTGCTTCTGAATGTTGTTGAGGTGCATGAGGAATTAAGGAGATAACTTAAAACAACATAAATTCCTTTAAAAAATCGCTTGCATATGTTTTATCCCGTTTAACAGTGAATAATTTGCATCGTTGGCATACACTTTTTCATTGTTTTTCTTCATCATTTTAATTAATATAAGGAAAAAAATGTGTATCTCTGGAATTAATATTTTAAATCATGAAAATGAAAAAAAAGATGTTTACCCGATTGAATCAAGCTTAATTAAAGATAGTAAAATATATGATGAGCCATTACTCGAGGATTTTTTCTTCTTAATTTTCTCTGATAGGATAAGCTAGTTGATATTATTACTCAGCGAAGTCTGCTCTTCTATTAGAAAGATTGAAAATAGAATTGAATTCCACTTGATAAAAAATTTCATAGAAATATAAATCTACATTCTTGTAATAGTTACCTGGAAAATTGAATGTCAGGAACGACATTTTAATAAAATTTTTATTACGCAGATTTTCTTTAATCTTTTTTGTATAATGATACAAAAAATCATGAAGTTTCGTGCAACTGTCAGTTACATTTGTTAGAATTTTTTGTAATAAAAATTTTCATTTTATTCTTTTATTATTGATCAACAACCGTTGACTTTTTTTTCTAAGTTTTTCAAACACATTAATATTTTTATGAATTTCTACGAATGATGTGCATAAAATGTATTTCTTTGTGTAATAATAATAATAATTATAAAAACTTCATATTATGCCAATTTATCTAAAGTTACTTTCGGGCAGTCAAAGGTTTTTGTACTCGCTTTACTACGATAAACGATCCGAGCTGAAAGTTTCCTCTCAGGTCAGAATCACAAAAAAATTTTAAATAAATTTTTATTTTTAATTGAAAAAAAAAGAATAATAATAATGATAATAAAAGAAAAGAAATGAGACTTTTGCTAATAAAATATCTTAACTTGTAATGATATCATTGTATTAGAAGTATTTTCTTTAGACGAGAAACTTGTAGCTCCACATCAAGAGTAAATGCGGCTAACTTAATCACTAGTATAATTTAATTGGCTCGTGTACGACCTTCGTCACGGACAATGGCTCTGAAGTATTGAGGCATTAAAGTGTGTTTGGTTGCTTTCAGTAGCCTGGATTGCTCTTCATGTGAAAACATGCAATCATACATAAACTTCAAAATTTTTTGGCATTAAAGAAGCATCGAAGTAATTTATTTTCCTTGCTATTCTAGTGGATAATTCAATCGTTTTCGTCTGTTTAAACAAATGTGGCCGGGGGATTATAAATTTAATATGGCTTTATAAACCCACTAGTGCTATCCACGTATTCGAATAGTAGAGGAATTAATTTAAATAGGATTACCAAAATGACAATCCTTTGGTTAATTTCATGATTCATTCCTCACTAATATATTTAATTTAATCTGCCTTTAAGAATTAGTTCAAGAAAGGAAAGTTATAAATTATTTTATTGTTATTCATTCAATTTATTGCACAATTAAAAGTATATTGGTCACGTTCGACGATGCACTTTTTTTCAATAGAAAATAAAAAGATTATATTGTCTACCAATCTTCAAGATTTGATTAGCTTTTAATTGTTACGGTGGAGTTTCAATAACCATTTCGTTATCTTAAATGATCAATTATTCTCAAAACATGAAGATTTAATTTTTTTATTTATTTTTAAACCATAAAGCATCTAGTTGATTGTCAGGAAAAATCCTGATCCTAGAATCATACACAGATAGCATTCTATAATAAAAAGACATCATCTAGATGTCTAGAGTTGAGCTCTGATATCTGTAGACAGATTAAGAACTTTTGGAGTAAATTTTTTGCTCCAAAGCTCTTTTTACATATCAGGTTGTTCAATAAGTTTTGTCGTTCGATAAGAGATAGTGCTAATAGATTTGTCATTTTTCTAAAAAAGGTACTACATTTTTATGAACACGTGTGAAGAAGATCACTGGAACAAGTGTATTGAAGTTCAAGGAGATTATATTTAATATAATAATAAAATGTATTTCACACCACAACATCGTGTTTTTGTTATCGAACGACAAAACTTATTGAACAACCTGATATATTTCAATATAATAAACAAGTAATTTAATAATTAATAGTATGATCAATTATTTGAAAAATAATTGTTATTTTATTTTAAATATATTTTCCATTGATTGTGAATATTTCTGTAATAATAAATAAGTGGTTATAACTTGAATCAACTTTCTAATATTTCATTAAAAAACTTTTAAAAGCTAAATTTTTCAAGTGTACAACTATTCTGATAACTTCATTCCCACTAGAGTTTTCTTCTAATAGGATTTCTCTCTTTTACATTTTTATACATTCGAATGAACCAGGAGATAAATATTCCTCAGAGACAAATAAATTGTTGAATTCAAAAGAAAATTAAATTAATTTAATCTTCAAAAAAGATACCGTTTTTTTTTGTTTTCAATTAAAAGTCTCTTTAACTGATAAAAAAAATTTTCTACTGTATTTTATATCCAATTATTCATTTTTTTTTTGTGGCGTTCATATGATATTTATTGGTAAGGTCTTTTTTGATAAAAAATTAATTTTCTATTTTCTATGTAATTGATTTATACATCATATCTATATAATAAAGAAAGCAATCAAGTGTTCATCTAAGTGTTACATGAAATGTCAATGATGATAGGACCTGTTAACGCATATCAATAGCGTACAGTAGCTTGTACTAGGCGTAGTAATAGTCTTGTAATTTGCTAGCAATTGAGAATCTTATTACTCGGTTATGCCATTAGACTGATAACTTATGATGGCTCTTAATTGTAACAGCTAACATGATATTTTGTGTTTCTGCTTAGTAAATGAGTATAGACACCGTTGACAACCATTTTAATTAACAATTAACGTCATCATAATCATAAATAAATATTTACTAAGAATTATTAACTTTTACTATTTTATATAAAGTACGAATAATGCTTTAATAACAATAAAAAACCATCAAGTATTCTACTGAGTATATATATCCTACCTTACTGAAGAACCCCATTTTATTTTTATAATTAATTCTGATTCAATGTAGATTATAGCGTGATTAATGTTGATGTTATATTGATCAATTTTTTTCATCGTTCAGAAAATGCTCTGTAATTTCCATTAATTAAAGCATCCCCATTTTTTATATTACTTTAAAATCATTATTTACTAATCACTTAAATCTTGAAGATCAAGTTGCTTTATTTTTAAATTAATTTTATTTTACGTTAAATAATTATTCTTCAATATTCAGAAACTCTTTACCAGATACTTTTAATATTTATAAAATTTATTTTTATTATGGTATGAGCTTTTATAATAATGTTCGTCTTTAATCTTTTCACAATAGAAGTACATTAAGAATTGTCAGTATCCTAGCTTGGTATGCCCAGTTCCTGAAAGGGTTCCAATTGGAGAAATCTGTCAGAGCTTAATTAGACAAAAGACCTATAATCCGTTCAGAACACAATTACCGCTCAAGTGTCTAATACAGTTCCCAGCAAGATTCCTTCATAAGCAATACTTTGTCATTGAAAGAAAAGTATATTTATTTTGAAATTATTGTGTTTGTAAATGAATTTAAATAGAAAAAATGAAAAGTCGAATTGAAAAAAAATCGCTTGTAGTTAGAGCGGGAATTTAAAGCCATGGGATAGGTCGTATATGAGTCATGATGTAATAGAAAATTGATATTGATAACCAGATGTACGGTGGAAATGTTTTTTAATCAATATTCCTGAAGATAAAAAGATTAGACAGATCATTTTTAATACTTTTTTGTTATAAAGTAAATTTTTTTTCAATTTTTCCTTTCATGGTGAAATAAGTTTTTTTTAATTCTTGTGTATATTTCACTTCACATGCTGCTTTCAATGAATATTACATAAGCGAAAATTACAACGCACAAATGCTCTCTTTCTATCTTAATTATGCTCCAAAATTTACATTTGAATATAAAACACTTCAATTGCTATTCCAAAACTTTCTATGAAGTTTGAAATATTAAAAATTGCAAAATACATTTTAGTTAACGTAATATTTATCATTTAACACTTAATTAATCGCCAATGAAATTATGTAATTTGAGGATGGTTTCGATAATAAATTGAATAAAGTATAATTGATAAACAGAGGAAATAAAATAGAATGTTACTAGAGTAACAAAACGGCAGAAGGACATATACACATTTTAATTGGATTTCTATGGTATACGAGGTGTTATAATAGCAACTCACGTTGAGTCTAGTTCATGCATGAAACCTTCAATTCTAAAATGAATGACCTTTTGTTTCTTTTTATATTCTCCTTCACCCTAAAATTACTTTTCCATTTAATTTTGTTTCGTTTCATTTCCTGTCTGTGTGCATGGGTCAATTTCACTTATTTAAGGTACTAATAAATCAGTTTAGTGTGTTGGTATTTGCGTGCAAGTTTTCTAAAAAAATAGGTCAAGTCACTGAACGAACATTACATCTGTCTAACAACATAAATAAAATAACACTTGTTAGAAGACAAATGAGATAACTGGCCATATAAATCCCTCTCTTATTAAAGGCTTCTTCTGTATCAGGAAGCAAAATTTATGACAATCGAATTCCATTAGGGTTTTATGATAATTGGAAACTAGAATTATTTAAATATCCTTACATAAAAGATTGATGCTTTTAGAGTTTCAAGGTTTTTTTTTCTGAAAATTTCAATCTAAAAATTAATTCTTTTTTACAGACAGTGTCAGTTAGTGTAAGTATATTAACGCTGACTTCGATATCAATCGATCGATGGTATGCTATATGTTATCCTCTCGAGTTCAAATCAACCACAAAGAGGGCAAAAAAAAGCATCTTATTCATCTGGCTTTTCTCGATTATTTTCGGTAAGTGTGAAAATAAAAGTTCGGGTAACAGTCGGTATCCAACATTTTTCTTTCTTTTTTCTTTTCGTTCATTTTATATTTTTATTAAAGATAAAAATATCGTATTCTTGTCATACAACTGCCACGTGTTTGTACAAATGTGTAGCATTAGTAAAAGATTGCAGTTGAACATATTGTGCTAATACGAATTTAATGATGACAAAATAGAAATGTCTAAATATTAAAGAAAATATTATTTTCCAGATGTACCAGATTTAGTGGTCCTTCATGTCGTCCCGCCAGGACACCTTAAGGTAGAAACGATTTTTTACACACAGTGTGCAAGATCATGGAGTCCAATGAGTGATACAATCTTTACTACTATTATTCTGATATGCCTTTACTTTGGGCCACTTACTTTTATGACCATTACTTACTGGAAAATTATTCGGGTACTTTGGAGAAGTCATATTCCCGGATATAATTGTAAGTGTAATTGAAATAATCATAAATTAAAAAGTAATTAACTGAGATCTTTTATGAAATTTTTTTTTTAATTTTTTTAAAATAAAATCTATGCTACTTCATTGAAAAAAAAAGTTATTTTCATTATTGCGATAGAAAAATTAAATGAAGTAATATGATTGGAAAGCAGAATAAAATAATTTCAAACAAAAATTCAATGGTAATAACAACAACAATATCAAATTTCCGGCTCGAAAAAAATTCCAATTTCACGACTAAAACTTCAATTATAAAATTCTCTTTGTTGTATGCTTCCTCTCAATACACAGCGAATTCTATAATGTAAAAATAAATTTTTTAAAATAGTACTCAAAATATACAATAAAAGTGTATGTAGTCAAAAGAATACATCAATACATAACATACTCTATATATATGAACATCTTTATATTTTCGTAGAAAGATATTTACGTCCTTAAGAAGTGTACTTTCTGTCATTTCAAATGAAAACGACTGTAACAAAGTATAAGAAATGGTTGATACCAGTACTAAACAACTTGGAAATAAAATAGATGACCTATAGCTGACATTTCTAAATTTACGAGTTTACACTATGCTTTATCATAAAATTATATCACTAGATTAGAATTAGTTACAGTATTTCGAAACTTCAAATATCTATGAAACGTTAAAGTATTATAAAGAATCAATATCAATAATAAAAATGATTATATACAGTGCCCAGGTGTGCAGCACCAATGCCATTGGCAGCCTCGACATTGAATGAAAATCTTGAAGATCAACTAGCATCTAGGAAGAAAGCAGCAAAAATGTTGGTTGTTGTAGTCTTTGTTTTTGCAATTTGTTACGCTCCAGTTCATTTGCTCACTATTCTCCGGTAATTCATGAATACTTAACAATTACTTTTAAACCTTTGCATGTCCATTAGAGTTTATTTTAATTAAATATTATTAATGTATCCATTTTATGTTTCCATACATTACAGGCAATCGATTGGTTTACCGTCGAATGATTTCACTGTAACATTTAGTTTATTGGCTCACTGGATGTGTTATGTAAATAGCGCAATCAATCCCGTTATTTACAATTTCATGAGTGGTAAATTTTGATCCTTTGTATCAATTATATTAATATTAGTAAATAATCATTCACTATTATTCAGATAATATTAAATCAATCTCCATAACTATTAATATTAATGTAAATAATAATAAGTTAATAAAAGTTATAAAACAAATCATTCTTTTTAACAAAAAAAAATCTTAAAATGATCAATTTTTTTCAAAAGTTTTTTTTATATAGTTCAAGTCATAATAAAGTAAAGTCACTAATGATTGACCATATTTTAACAAATTTATCTCTTGGGAAATATTTAAACGTAGGAGAATAATTTTAAAATAAATTAAACTATTACTTTACGGGTAAATTGCTAATAACATTACTCTGTTTTGATGCAAATTCAAGTTAATAAATTTTATTAATAATTATTGCAGGAAAATTTCGTAAAGAATTCAGACGTTCATTTATGTGTACAAAAGAGATGTTCGATGATCGAGGTGTACAAAAATTAACAGGGATCTTCAATACTCCAGAGTCACGTTCTCAATCACAAATGCGATTGGGTCATCAAATGATAGATGATTCCAATGGAAATCAACGAAGTACTGAAGTCATACCACTTACTGATATATCACGACAAAATACTAGACGTGTATAAAAGATATTGGATTTCGTGAACAGCATTGCAATCTTGAATCTCAGAATGAATGGAGAGCAACAAACCGAATTTATTAATGTAGGTACAAATTTTTGTTAGATCTTGCCATGTATATTTGATGACAACGATTTATATATATATATTTAAAACATATCATATAAGTCTGTACTAAATTGATATATGTATAATATTTTATTTTATTAGTTAAGATAAATGTTGATAGATGTGAATTTTATGTAAAAAATTTTTAAGATGATTTATTAGTATCATTGGCTCAAATTTCCATTCAAATAATAATATATCATTATTTATTTTTGTTGATATGCTGTGAAAATATTAGAAATACGTAACATTTGAAAAAGTAAATATAAAACATATTAATATAATAAAAGTGTACAAAAAATGAAATAAATAATTTTTAAATAATTTGCATAAGTTATTACTATATTTCCAAAATTCATAAGAATTTTTATATTATTCTGTTATTTTAATACATGGTTAGTAAATATGTTAACAGTAACCAAATATTATAAAATATTCAAAATTTCAATTTTTCGTTAACTTTACGTAATACGCTCTTTTTATCTTTACATGACATATTTTATTGGATACGTAATTCATTATTCATGATTGTAATTTCTAATTAGAAGAATTTTCCATCTAAATTCGTAAATTTCTATCCGATCATAAAAATTTGAAAAATTAACTACACATGGAATAAATCACTTTGCATATTTTCAATAGCTATATTACTTATGTGTCCTCATCATGCTTACATTTTTTATTTTCATTATAATTTTTTTTTTTTTTACAAAATAATATATTTGTGAACATGAACTATAATTTTAAATGATTAATATTACTCATAAAATTAGTTCTTTCACCATAAAGTCATTCGAATTTGACTTATGACTATTTCTCGACTAACTATTAAAATCATAAGTAATAACTAAAAATATTAAATGTTTTTTCGTTCATTTTTCATTTTTATGTATTTTTTTAGCATTTCCTAACGTTTTATATTTACACTAATAACAAAGAAAAGTATTTTAACTTAACGTTACATATTTATCCGTATGTTAAATACGTAATTGCGTATAGAATTTTTTAAAATGAGCACTATTGAAAGTATTTATTTATTCTTCTTTTAATAATTTGCGCAAAGCACGTATTAATTGTTATGGCATTCTGCATCTCATAATTTTTATAATTACAATTAAAATTTCGATATTAATTATTGTAATAACTAGTGAGATTAATATATTTATGTATATATAATATAGGCAGCGTATGTCATAAATCAAATTTAATAGTTAAGCAAAATATTTAAATTATTTCCGTGATAATGTGGGCACATAGTATCATTTCTAAGAAAATTAGTTTCTTATATTATTTTTTGTTAGTAGTAGTTTTTATACGGTGGCATTTTTTTACGTAAAAGAGACATGTGACAAAATTTCTACAAAATTATTTCACATAAAAATATCTAGGCAGCTGCTTCTTCAACTACAGGATTTTTGTTTAAATTCACACTGTCAACTTTGGTTATTTCCGTTTCCGAAATAGATACAGCCTCTATTTCTACTGATTTAGCAGGAGGCAAAGTACCAGAACTGTTATCGTCAATAATATCTTGATCACTATTATGAACTTGTGAATTTTCTACTTCAGGAGATTCAATCGTTACTTTACTTATAACAACATCAGATATACATTTTTCTATTTCAATAGCTGGTTCTGGTTTTTGAACTTCTTCAACTGTTATTTTTCTTTCATCTTCAGGTTGATGTTGAGTAATTAAAGAAGTTTCTTGGACTTCATCCGTTAATTCCACCGGCATGTTGTCAAATGTTTCAGTCGAATTTTTTACAGTTGACTCTGGTGCATCAATTCGAACTTCAGACTCACCTGTGGGTGGTACAGAACCAGGAGTTGTATTTTGAATTGTCTGAGAAACAGTTCTACCTCTACCTCTACTGCTTTGATGACGTTTTACTTCTCCGGAGTTGTCTGGAGGTGGCAGAATAGGAATAGCTGCTTTTGGTCGTCGAGGAGGAGCATTTTGTGGTGGTTGTTGCGGCTGTTGAGCTGGACTGTAGTATGTACAACCTTGGGGTTGATATAATTCAGGTGGTGGTGGTCCTTGAGGCTAGAATAAAATAAAAACAAAATATTCAAATACTTATCCATTAAAACTAATATAATAACGGTATTGTTACAACTATGCATTAGGTAATACCTGAACTGGAGGATTATATCCTTGATATCCTTGGAAATTCGGTTGGAACGCTGGTCCATTAGGACCTGGAACGTAATTTATGATGCTTGGAGGTGCAGTTTGAGTAGATAAGAATTGCGGTGGTGGTACTAAGAACGGTGGAGGCGCGTACGTGCCAGGCTGACCAGCAGTGGGCATTGGAATAACAGGTTGTGCGGCCAGAGGATTTGCAGATGTTGGCACTGAAGCTGGTTGTTCATAATGGCCTTGTGGATAACCTAAAATCATCAGAGTCGTATTTAAAATTCCAGTTGAATTTATTATCAAACAACGAACATTAAATATTTATCATAAAGTTTTTAATACATTTAATTTGACGAAGTCACATTATTCATTGCAAGCAAAACACACAAAGACGGACAAGGCCAATTAACAGGGGATAATGGTTTTTTCGCCTTACCTGGTTGCTCTAGAACACCGTGAGAATTTCCACCTAAGTAAATATTTATAATAATAATCGTATTAATATTGAAAATAAAGTAAACAAAATGGATAGAAAATACTTATTAATAAAAAGAAATGTATAAATTGAATTTTTTAAACGAAAAGTATCTATACCTTGAGGTGGATAGAATGTATGCTGAGTATGCTGAGCTGAATAATTTTGTTGGCCAGGACCTTCAGAAATAGTCGGCCGTTGACGAAGACTTGAATACCGTTTTGGTCTATTCCCAGCGACATCAGGAGGGGGTTGAGAATGAGTTGGAGTTTGTTGTTGTTGTTGGGGCTGCTGTGATGGTGGAGGCTGCATTCGTGGTGGGACACTTTGTTGCCTTTGTTGGTTTGATGCTGGTGTATAGAAATTTTCTGTACAATAAAAAACAATTAATTATTTCTCTGATAGAAAACGAAATTAATTTATATTAATTCTGAAAGTAAATATATACTTTGTTGTCGTCCACTGTGATGATAAGTTGATCCATCGTTTATATTCATATGTTTGATTTCATTAATGACTTGTTCCTCATCATGTTGATTAATATTATTTCTTCTAATGTCTCCAGTAATAATTCCACTACCTCGGCCTTTTGGCTTTAGATCCAGGATTCTATTAGTGACGAGATTATTATTAGCATTAGGTTTAAAGCCTCGACCTCGAGCTTTACTTGCTGCCAAGCTCACAGACTCAACATGTCTCTTGTTGGTATGATTTGATTTCGTATAAACTACTTTTTCTCCATCTCCAGTGATATTATTTCTATTTGGACTGGAATTCTGTGGAGTATGTTTAACTTCCTTCTTCCATGCTGGATTTGTAGGTTCATTAGGCGCTTTGTTTTCATTTCTGAAATATCATAGAATATTATCATCTATTTATTCTATTTTTACTCCAATAGTAAGCTAAATGAGTATAAATGAAAGAAAACGATTACATACGTGTGAATATTATTCGCCGTCGATGTATTTGTTTTCTGATTTTCTTGCTGAGATTGCAGTGGTGGAAAGGCGTTTTGCTGTTTATTATGATATTTATTTTTATTACTGTACCAAGCTGACGATATAACCGGTTCTTCCGCCACGTCTGGTTGATCCTGGAATACATTTGTGTTTTTATCAATGAACTAAAACCCTACTTTTGAGGTGAAAGAGTGATAAAAACAATAACACGATAAAAGAATCAAAATATTACCTTATTAGATCCCCCAAGTGCCGGAAATTCTTCTCCTGTTTTATTCGATCGTCTATTATGTTTATGAGTATGACTTCCTGAAGTTTTATTATAAGCATCTTCATCTTCCCAGTTACGAGTATATTTATTCGGCCCTCGACTATACAAAAAAATTTTATTATTACGTTCGAAATTGAAATTTATAATTCCACTGATTAAATAATATTCTTACCCGTATCGTCGACGTCTTCTAGCTCTTGGTGGTCCTTCTTCGTTCCTAATATCATAACCATAAACGGCAATGAGTTCTTCATGACTTTTTGGAGCCTGTTCCTCGTCATTATATCGATCATGATCCCATCTATCTTCTTTATCTTTCCAAACTTTTTTCTCTTTCGTCTCTCGTTCAACCGGCTGTTCTACAGCATTTTCAGCAGTTTCTTCAGTCGTTCGATCATCATGTTCGTAGAAAGTACCACGTTTAGGAATATATTGAGGATTACGTCTATCTTCATCATCATCTAATTTTTTTTGAGGCTTATCTTCTTCTTGACCATCTCCCCTTTCTCTTGGAATATCATCTTGAGATCCAACTGATTCTGCATCACTTCCAGCAGTATCGTACTCCGAATCTCTCTGTCCTTCAGTATGCTCACTGCTCTGAAATAGATAATTTTTTTAAAAATTTAATTATATATTCTATCAACGTCTACTTTTCAAATTAATTATTCAAAATGATAGTGAAGTTCAAATCAATAAATACTGCACCAAATAAAGGACGATTAAATTACGAAACTTGACATTTAACATTTTAATAGAAAAAGTACAATTCAATTTAATTCAATTATTAAGTTTATTTAAATAGTTATTATGTCGAGATCGTCTCGTGTAGGTTTAATAGCGAAAGATTAGTGGTTAACTAGCTACTAATGGCAATCATAACCTTCTAATTTTCAACGAAGTGAGCGGCAAGTTAATTCTTTTTGTTTAATTTGCTTGATTCGATAGACTGCTTATCTTTCTTACGGTTTCCAGACACAAAATGATACCACCAACTCTCGACCCCATTTCGGCGTCAAAATATATGTACCTTCACCGCCGGTAGCAAACTTAATCATCACGACCCAGAAAGAAACGTGGATTACTTGTACTAGATTATGATAATGCCTATTGATCTAGAAAGTCATGTTATACATTATTCTATAATTTAAATATATTTACCTGTGTTCCTTTAGCTGCATTTAGCTCATCGTAGGACTCTGAAAGATCGTCTGATGCGCCGGATTGCTCCGATTTACGACGTCGTCGAGAATCAGACATTTTTATGCTTTATAATATCACACAGTGTATTAATTACACAAAATGCTCTCGTTTTTTTCTGACAAAATAAGATAAAATTATGAAAACATTAATTTACTTTATTTACACAATATGTTCTATTAATGTAAGTATATTTTAATAAAAATTACCTGCAATTATTTTACTGCAATACACGATGCGATGAACGACGATGCTACCGCTCGGTGTTAAAGGATCACGAACTAAAGACTTCCACAATAGATGAAAACAGAATTCAATTAATTACACGTGTAGAGTAAATAATTTATTTCTAACATTCATGGTAATAGTATAAAACAAAGTATTTTGAACCAACAAGTGACTGACAGTGTAAATTTTTTTTGATCAACCTACACGTTCGTTCACTCTAACTCTACTAAGCTGTGTCAAGTCAACTCTGCCATTTTAGTTAGTAGTTCCCAAAGTCGCTACAGCAGCAGCACATTAGAACATGGCCGTCAATATGGAGTCATTTACCTGAGTGCATAATAACGGTTGTAACAAACACTGAGATTATCCTATTGTTTATTGTTCGAGTGTCCTTTGGTTAATTTCGGGAGTTTTCAATTTTATTGTTATAACTACCGTATCGTCTATTCTCTCATTAAGAATTGATTTATAATGGATTTATCCCTAATCTGAGGGCTAACTTTGAGAACATCCATTTCATTGTACTCATTGTTCATTGCAGCTTTAATGTAAATTGCATTGGACCTTCGAACACTTAGTAAACATTTAACAAATTTTACCATTGTAGTATTCCCATTATAAGTGTTGTGCTCTGAAATTCTATGAACAATGTCTACTACGGCACGGCCAACATTTGATGGAGCACGCGGAGGACAAGGAAGAGGTGAAAAAGATTTAAGTGCAATTTCTAAACAATACAGCAGTCGTGATTTGCCTTCTCACACAAAATTAAAATATAGGTAATTAATATTTATTTGCCTCTTTTATTGTCATCAATAGAATTATTTGTTGATTCATATTGTCTAATTTACATTTAATTTAATCACTTTAGTAAATAAAAAATACTTATTTCATAAAACAGTATAATATTGGAAGCATTGTTTTTTTTTACTCCAAAACCATAAATAAAAGATAAGTTTCAATTACTGTTTTATGCAATTCTTTCCTTTCGTTTACATTTACAATTTTAATATATTCACAGGGATTATGGACAAGGAACTATTGAAGAACTACGGAATCGTGATTTTCGTAAGGAATTGGAAGAGCGAGAAAGAGAAAGAGAAAAAGATAAATCTGGAACTAGAAGAATGATTGAGCCCTCACGAGAGCCAACAGCTCCAACGCCTAACAAAAGACAGAAAGTAGACCAAGCACCTATCACAAGTTTAGATGCTGATGATCCGATTGATGATGATGAATCAGATTCATCAAGTGATGAGGATGATGCAGCATCACTTGTTGCTGAATTACAGCGAATCAAAAAAGAAAGAGCTGCTGAACAAGTTAAAAAGGTACATGTCAACCAAATAGTATTTTATCTCTCTTTCTTCTAAGCTAGAATTAGTTAGTCAGTCGCTAGAAAATATATACTAATCAGTATTGATTTTGATTTATGATAGGAAATGGAGAAAAAACAGGAAGAGGAAAGAATTCGCATGGAAAATATCCTTTCTGGAAATCCCTTGTTAAATTATTCTTCTCAAGTTGTTCGCACAGATATGAAAGTAAGAAGACGTTGGGATGATGATGTTGTGTTCAAAAATTGTGCTCGATCCGAACCGAAGAAAAAACACGACGTATTTATTAACGATTCACTTCGAAGTGAATTTCATAAAAAGTTTATGGAAAAATATGTTAAATAAGAGTATATTGATTAATTTAATAATAATCATTAAAGAATTGAAAATTTTTTGTAAATAACGCAATAGTCATTGATCAGAAATTCAAAAGATGTTTTTTCATTTCATAATTAAGAATGTAAAATAAGATTTTAGATTAATAGCGAATAAATTACTCATAAAATTGGTGAACAACGTTAATTAAACAAATAAATGTCTTTTTTCAATAAAAAAAGTAATTACAATCGATTAAAATTTTTTTAAGTTTCAATGAAACAATTGACTTTTTATTAAATATTTTCATATCAACATGTTATAAGTGACAAAATCAAGAGTAAAATAAGTAAGAGATCACTTTCACCATCAATTTAAATTTGCAAAGACTAGGTCGTTAAGCTTGATAACTATCGATGAAGCCTTGGATATGTAATGTCGATGATCCACATTTCTCCAATAGGCTATAAGTGAAATTACTTTACTTAGGGGGAAAGATTGAACGAAGGAAGCCGAACAGAAACCGGCTACCATACTCATCATACGTATAAGTTGTTCTTTCAGTGGGAGGAGGTATCAGTTTGAAAGTGTGAGCCACCAGAGACGAACACAATCTCTTTGACAGACACTTTAACATCATGAGGAGACCAAGGATGTTGCACTTGGTGCTCCTCTTTTCAACTGGTAAGATCATCCTTTACCCTTTTATCGACAATTTCTATTTAGTCTTAATTAGAATAAATTATAAAGACATATTTGCATTGACTAATTGATTGTCATCATTATTATCGTTTAATTTGAAATTTGTAACAAGGGAAAGGCCCGGCATTACCGGAAGTTTCACTTCCTCTCTTACAAGAGAAAATGTAAAGTAGTGTATACATATTAAGGAATCATTGCATGCTATAATAAATAACTTTATTGTTTTGAAATTATTATTATTACCAATGCTAGTATTTTTTGCAAAATTCCTTAAACTAGTACTGATCGGATAAAAACTCCGGTGAAAGTATTCAGAGTGTTAAACTGTAGTTTCGCGCGTATTTTATGTTTTTTTTAAAAGTAATACTTAACATTACTAAGAGAATGGAAAAGATTTTCTGATTCATTTAACTTTCTACTACTTCTTACAGTATTTTGGATGACAGAAGGGTCATCTGATATTCCCTGCATCGAGGACAGCAAGTTTTATAGAAATCCAAACACACCAACTCATAATGTTTGGTCTCCAAGTGAATGTGCCAAGTATTATTTATGTTTAGGTATTCATCTTGGCTTTTTATTCACTCAGTTATCTTGAAAATTCAAATTTATTCTATTTTCTAATGTTTCTAATGCATAATCAATTGAAAAAATCATTTAATAATAATTTTAAATGTAATTCTAATTACTATTTCACAATAGTATTGTTTGTTATTATGACTTATTTAGTTTGATCACTGATTTAATTAGTCTAGATAAAGACTCTCATGATTGTTTTCGAAAGACTTTCTCATTCACGTTATTATTCAACAATTTGACGCAATCTCATTTACAGACAATGAGGTATTTGAGTTTAAATGCTCGGATGGTCTTCTTTTCGATGTCTCCAGGCAAATATGTGATTTCAAAGCAAATGTAGACAATTGCGATGTGACATCTGGTAAGAGCATGAAAATTCGTAAAGTCATTTGGTCATAAAAATTTTAAAAATTAATTGTTAAAAGTATTTAACAGAACAACCAACACCAAAGCCGTTATTAGAGAATGGAGATTGTCAGGATGATAATACTTTGGCATGTGGAGATGGTACTTGTCTTCCAAATGCTTACTTTTGTGATGGAAGTATTGATTGTCCTGATGGATCTGATGAAGGATGGTGTGGTGAGTAGTGAATAGACATAATAATTGGGTATTTATGATCAAACTAATCAATCAGTAAGTTAACATTTTCTTATTTGTTAAGATGGAAAGCACGATGGAAATTCTGCAAGGTTTTGTGATCCAGAAAAATGCCAGTTACCAAACTGTTGGTGCTCAGAGGATGGTAAACGAATTCCAGGAAATTTAACAGCATCTGAAGTACCACAAATGATAGCAATTACTTTTAATGATGCTGTTAATGCTGAAAACTTTGATTTTTATTATAGTGAGTTTCTTAATCATTTAAACTTTTTTTTACCGATAAATCAAACAACGCTATAATTTAAAACTTCTATTTCACAATTATAGAATTTTTCAATGACGAAAGAAAAAATCCGAACGGATGTCCAATTCGGGCGACATTTTTCGTGAGTCATCAATATACTAATTATAGGGATGTTCAGTATCTTTGGAATGCAGGACATGAAATTGCTGCCCATTCAGTAACGTATGAAAAACAAATTTTTTTTTTACTTAACTCTTACTAAAAAAAATTAATGTAAAAAATAGGCATCGAGGACCAGAAGAATGGTGGTCAAAAAATGCTACAATCGAGGATTGGTTCGATGAGATGGTTGGAGTAGCAAACATCATCAATAGATACGGGGGAGTCAGAATAGAAGATATAAAAGGATTAAGAGCACCATTTTTACGAGTTGGTTGGAACCGTCAGTTTTTAATGATGTCAGAATTTGGTTTTCTTTACGACTCATCTATGGTCGCACCTTTTGCTGACCCACCAATTTGGCCATACACTTTAGATTATCGTCCTCCTCATTCGTGTGTTGGAACTGGTCAACTTTGCCCAACAAGATCTTATCGAGGACTTTGGGAATTGCCACTAAATCAATTACTTGCAGGAGTACGATATGATAATACTCATTAATTAGTTATCTTTATGTTTATAATTCTAAAAATTTTTTACTATCTACATCTTTCTTAATGGTAAAAACCTTTTTTATGTGAAGGAATATACCTGCGGGATGATAGAAGATTGTCCATTAAGTTTATCAGGAGAAGAAACTTACAAAATGCTTATGTTAAATTTTAAAAGACACTATCTGAGTAATCGTGCACCACTTGGCCTGCATTTTAATCCAGCATGGTTTCGAAATCCAACTAATGCCTACGCGTTTGGTGTAAGTTTTTTTTTATTAATTTCCAATTTATTTTTTATTATTGATATATTATTGAGAATAATCAATGTTTATTTATTTTTAGAAATTTGTTGACGATTTACGACACTTACCGGATGTCTATTTTGTAACAAATAATCAAATTATTGAGTGGATGAGAAGACCTACTTCTGCATTAGATCTAACAGCTTTTGAACCGTGGCAATGTCGTAGACAATTTAAACCCCATGAAATAGCCTGTGAATTTCCCAGCACTTGTAAGCTTCCCAGTCGTGTTTTAAAATCATACAGGTATTTAAATACATGTTTCGATTGTCCAAAGGAATACCCATGGTTAAGAAATGAATTTGGTAATGAATAATTAATTCTTCTATATATTGATATAGTTAAATTATCATGATTTTATTTTATTTTGATAGCTTGTTATTTTTTTAATTGAATATTATTTTTCTAATCTATCCTTTGTAGTTTATTTTATATTTACGAAAGCTTTCAGCGTAGTTATGAGACTGAAGTTCATTCATAGGTAACAAAAATATATTTATTTTTTTTCCAAAAAAAAAAATCAAAATTATGTAAAAAAAAATTATCTGTATGTTAACGTATAGAAAATATTGATAATAGGGATAATTTACATTAGTTTGCTACCCAGAATTAAGGAGTAAAAAATTTATGAATACGTTTGACTTGATAAGTAAATAAAGTCAACCTTCGTGAGGTATAAATGGATTTTGAATGGATTCCATACCATCTACAGGACATATTAATACGACGGATGTACCTCTGCATACAACAAGTCCTAACATTCTGGTGTCTTGATTGAGTTTATACGGATCATCAGGATCTACAAATGAATAGTTTCAATAATTAGTTATAATTAATTTAAAGATGTACTAAAGTTATTTTATATGAATGATTATCAATAAAAGTACCTCGTAAATATTCTGTTGTGTTATCAAGTACTAAATTAAGTAAAGGATCATATCCTTTAAGAATTCCAGCAGCTTCCCTACCACCAGCAAATTTTACTCTAATATTTTTTTCTAGATATTTTGATAAATCTAAAATACTCTCCTTCCTTTTCTTTTCTTTATGATCTCCATGGGCATTTTGTTGCTAAAAAAATATTAATTTATATTCATCAAAACATTAACATCATATTATGACTTTAAGGTTAGTTTATGGAATTTTTAATTTTTTCGTATTTTACTGTACAAAATGATTCAGTTATTTTTTAGATTCTTGATAAAAAATTTTTGTTTCGTAATAATTTAAAACGTTTTAAATATGTTTATAATTACACTTACTGACATTGTTTAAAATTATACAAATAAACTCTTTTTAGCAGGAGATACGTTTACTTCAGTAGTGTCTCGTGCGCCAAGTTTAAATAGCGGTGACGAAGGCACTTACACTACCGTGTCTCTATTCTGCTTGAATCACAGTCTGTTAAGGTTATGTACTTTAAAATTGCAATATCTTTGTTATAATGACTTAAACATGTCATAAAAACTTCGGGATACCACATTAATTTACTTCAAGAATAGATTAGAGATACTATTGTCTTTCGATATTAATTATTTTAAATAATTAATAATTGGATATGCCCCCATATACAAGATTGAAGAAAATACACTTATTTCTCTCAAATATACGATTTTTTTATTATAAAGTTGGTACGTTGTGAGGTTGCTATAGTATATTAAAAAAATAAGTTGGTAAACAAAATATACAGATTATTGAGGCGCCAATTATGAAATAAATTAAATATCATGATGTTATAATACTGACAATGATAAATAATAGTATATCCTTATAAATATCAATTAATTAATAATAAATAAAGATGACACTATGATCGAGATAATGATGACAAGATTGGTGCAAAGGCGTTCAACAATAGTACTTATCCAGCGGCTGCTAATTTTTTAAATAACGTCGATAATATGATACCGAAATCTCTGAAATCACTGTTAGAACAAATTATATCAAAACGTAAAAGGAATTCAGCTAATTCAGTAACTAAAATCACTAGTATTGCTCATGCTATTATAATAGCTACACGTTCAAAATTGTTCATTTCATTTCTTCTCCTTACTTTATCTACTTATGTACATCGAAAATTTGAATCTGAATTGTTGATAAATATTTTATCGAAATTAGGCTTTAGAGAAAGTTATCATGAAACTTTATTATAAGTTTCAGCTACTATGCTGATTACGATATTCACACGATTGATGGCAAAAATACTTCCCACTATACTGGAGGTATTGAATGTATTACTCCAAAATTATCTGTTCCTCCTGATCAGGCTGTAACTCGCCTAAAAAAAATTCCAGAAGAAGAAAAATGGGCTGTAAAAGGAAGTGTTCCTGTTGAGAAATTTGAAAATTTTGACCCGAAGGGTCTAGCTAACATTACTCTATTAGATTTAGATGTACTAGATCCACCCGAGTCTCGTTATGTTTAATTACTTCCCTCTGAAATTATTTGGGTAACTGGAAAATTACTTAAAATCGAAAATTTACCAGAATGGAATCGATTCATGGAACTACATACATCAAAAAACAAATATCAGCAATCAACAGACAGATTTTTACCATTTATCCATGTGAAGTCTTCGGATGATGATTCTATCTTTCCAGCTCTTACTTTTGCAATCAAAGAAGTACAAAAAGTACGTCAATTATCGTACCTTAAGGTACTACATTTGTAACTTTTGATCAACCTCTGTACATTAAAGCCAGAAATATCGTTGTCACCATCATTGAAAATAATAAAAACTCCAACAGTATAAGTAACGATTCAGTTATAAATACTGAAAACGTTGTAGTGAAACTAGGAGGATTTCATTTATTAATGTCCTTTTTGGGTTCTATAGGATACATGATATAGGGAAGTGGTCTAAAAGAAGCATGGTCGTCAACTGAGGTATATGCAAAGCAATAGATAGACAATATGATGACAGAACAGTATTATAGCAGAGCACTGAGAGCTCATATGCTAACTCAATCTGCATTGTTGCAAATTTTATTAGACGAATCATGCATCACAGATACAGAACGAGAAGAAATCGCATGTTTACTTCAATCTTCAGTAAAATCCCGGAAAAAAGAAAATACATATTTGCGATTCGTTGAATCCCTGCGATCTGAAGAAACATCTGATCGACTAACTTTACTATCACTCTGTTCTTCACCAATTTGTTTGGAAATTGAGAATAAACTAAAGTTACACATTGAAAGTATTGATGAAAATAATGGCCCTACAGCAAAGCTTTGGATCCAATATATCAACTTAGTTTCGTTGGCAAAAACATTTATTATGGTAGAAAGAATGGGTGATTGGGAGACTCATTTATCGTGCATTCAACACATGTTACCACATTTCCATAGTTCTGGACATAATTTATACGCTAAATCTGCTCATCTATTCTATACCTTCAAGATATGATAAATTTAGAAAACCACATGAGCAAAAAGAACAAATAAATTTTGGAGTGCCATTTGGACCGATATGACGCAATGCCCACTTTGATGCACGCATGTGATGCTTTAGAATCGTTCACAGAGGTTCAAGATGCAAGCAGTGAACAGAATAAAGATTTCAGAGATTCGTCAACTGCTCTGAATGAAGGGTGCTTTCAATTTAAAAACACAACTCGACACTGTTTCGAGTTGTGTAGCTTTGTGTCCCACTCGACCGTTCCAATCAAAGACACAATTATACATAATAACCAGATACAGACAAATTAGACACAAAACAACACAATGTGTAAAACAACTCGAAACAGTCTCGAGTTGTGTTCCTAAATGGAAAGCACCCGAAAAGCATACTAAAAAATTATTGGAATGGTTCTTGGGACCCTTCCCCTTCCCCCTTCCCATTAAATAGTGAAATTATGTCGTTGTCTACAAGAATTTGTGATGATGATAGCATCAATTGTTGGAAGGCTAAAGAAGTTGGCATGGGGCTAATGAAAAGTACGATAGGGCAAAACTTTGCTGATGTTTCTTATAAAAGGAACAAAAAAGTACTACCAATATCCCGGCAGTTTGGCTCTTCTTGCTGAAGTAAGAATGGAAGTAAAAGAGGATTTGAATTAACCAAGTTGCTCTTATTCGAAATAAATAATCGATTCTGTATATAAATCATTATTTTTATATAGTATTGTTGGAATATATGCTAAATGAATTAATTATATTTCATGGATGTAGAAATAGACTTGAAATTTTTTTTTATACATGTAGGTGTTTATGAAAAGGCTATTCATAAGCATTTTTTTTGTTTATTAAACATTTTCTAATGTTAATAAAGTTCACCAGATGACGTCAAGATCTCTAATTTTTATTCAAATTTTTTTTTGTATCTTCCATAGTTTACAAAATAATTTTATGAATAGTACATATAATTAACTTAATCATGTTGCTAATAATCTATTTTTTTGAAATTACAAGATATCTTGATGAAATGAATAAATTTTTTCACTTTTCCAATAGAAAAATAACAACATAAAAAAACCCATGTGTGTATTGTTACTTATTGCGAACATGAGAACAATAAAGAGGAATAACGTGTGAGAGAAAGGGAAAAATTAATCATTATTAAAATTCTTTAAAAAGTATAGAGAAATTTTCTTTATATATTTCACCATAAACATGTTTAGAAAATAGGATTAATTATAAATTTTTTCAGCAAAAAAAAATACTCAATTCAATCTTCAAAAAATTCATAAAATAATAATTTAATTTGAGTTTGTAATTTCCGCGATTACCAATTAATATTTTATTTGATAATTTTATTCTATTTTTTAGTTGATATTTTCATTTTCCAAATAAGCCATACAAAATTAATTGATAAGGCACTACTACGGTTTCCGTGGCGCCACGAAATGACAATGAATTTCGATAGAACAGTCCACAATAAGACGAAAATGAAGAATAGATTTTTTTTATATCTCACTTAGTTTTCGAGATATTGATACTTTAAATTTCGGGTTCATATGGGCTTATACATGGATATAATTTTGGACTACAGAATTAGAAAGTTCTCTCCGGTAACGGTCTTCGGCCGCACCGCTTCGTGAGAAAAAATCACCCTGCAAGTATATTGTACCAAGTTACAACAATTTTGCGAATGAAAAAAAAATCGCGGTGCCACGGAAACCGTAGTCTCCCCAAAAAAGGCTCCCGATAATCTAGACACGGTACTGGCTTTAATATAACTGATTGTTGCATACCACGAGCGCGCTACGATCCCCCACCTGTTCTCAAAAGCCACTGACTACGGGAAATCGTAGAATGAAAGAGAAGAGGTAGTTAGGCGCGGCTTTGTGAGTCTTCGTGATGTTTTGTGACTTTCATTAACTACTTCAAGTCTACTTTTAATGGTTTTTTTGCTCAAATGCAAGCCAAATTGACTTCTGAAACATGTGAGTTCTAAGTAAAGTACGTTGTCAAATCAATTTCGTAGTCATCTTTGGATTATTTTTGGAAAAAACTTTTCTTTAAGTCTCAATGTGTGTTACATGAAAATACTGTACATATGTGGGTGTGTCCAACTGACACGCAAGTGCTATAAATATATTTTTTATAAACTAAAACAGCAAATTATTGGATGATTATTTTATTTTATCATTGTTTTCGTATGAAAAAATACCAAGAGATTCAAGCCTTCATTTTTAAGAGTATTGAGAGTTTAAATTTTCATCATTTTACTGTCTTATGTATCATCTAATGTTTGATATATTTTTTTTCAGTTAAAAAAGTTTCAAAAGCAACGACCAATATAATATAATATATCATAAAATCATATTATAAGAATTAGTTTTTTGATTGAAACTATCGTAATTTTTAAGAAGTGATTTAGCGATCTAAAAAATAATATTTGCAAAAATTTTACTCATGGAAACAATTTACTTTCATTGCAGTTCTTTATTATTGTTAGAAATTTTGAATGTATTTCATTCTTTCAAATTCAACGGTTGAGGTAGAAAAAAATAAAGAAAAGCATTGAAACGTTATTACGAAATATTTGAAAGCGATGACTAAGAATGATATTAAAAGAAGACTAGAACCGTCAGTGACCTCGTTTTTTATGACTCCAAAACAATTAGGATTATTATTATATATATCGATCCTTAGACATAAAACAAAACTTTTAACTCATTTGTGTAATTTGTTTTTTTTTCAGCTTCAAGAGAGACTAGAAGAGCCACCGAAATTGGTAGATCCAATTCATTTTGAGGTTTATGACCTAACGGATGAGAAAACACACACATTAGAGTTCACACTTAAAAGCACCGTTGGAAACGCATAACGCAGTACTTGAAGGTCGTAAAACTCCAGCAAAGACTTGTACATTTTTATCAACAATGCCGAGTGATGAAAGAACACAAACGGTGCGAGTTGTTGGACTCAGGCGACAAGCGAATGAACCTTTGGTGCGTTTAGTTAATTTACATGCATATTAGATCATTCATTGGAACTAGGAAATTCGGATTTTTCCACATGATTAAAAATTTTAGGAATAATTTTGAAAGTAATTAGT